AAATATTTCAATTGGAAGCATCTTACTTTCTTTTAACCTTAAACAGTTTATTAGAAGTATCAATGGCTTTTAAGTTGTTGTCGAACGTGTTATGGATCAATTCAAGTCAAGAACCGATTAGAAATCAGGCAGTGCTTATTAGCTTTTTCATCCTTGTATAGCACTCTTCAGTAATCTGTGCCTAAAAGCTCGTAAAACACTGTTTGAGAGATTTCCAGTTATGAACACGAATCTGGTACTGTTAGATCGCTGAGCTGAGATTTAATGCTCCTCATCTTCCAACTCCAATCGATTTCTAGAATAGATTAACAGTTATCCATTGTCATCAGCGGGTAACTCCATTGATCCTTTATATCAGTCATTAATATATCCTAGTTCGATTATACTCTAAAAATCGACTCCTCCAGAACAACTTTACAATAAATGTCATGGATCTGGTTAAGGATTATAGAATGCCTTTCTGACGACAAATTCCATAAATAAATACGTCTAAATCCTTTTATCACACACTAAACCGAGTAATTGTCAGTATGAGGTTGTAGCAATGGTTTCATTGAAATTATAAACCGATTGATGTTAGACTAACACTGGAAACGTGAAAGCACTGGAGGGCCGTTTCATTGAAGTACAAGACTTCTTCACAGTGCGAATCCACGTCCCCGCATACAGCAATCGAATCCAGAAGTTTGTGTTGATGATGTCGTTCAAAAGAACAATGAAAATTTCACGACCAAACCTTCCAACTTAGAGAACAAAACTCCATCCAAATGTTACTAACTTATACTTTCATAAAATAATTCTTAATAAGTGTAGTTTTACAAAATTGACTTTTTATGAGTCCTAGTTTACATATTTACTAGTTTTAATGATTTTATTCTATAAAAGAAGCTGGTATACAAATTCAAGTATATTCATTTATAGTAATATAGTGTCCTTTTAGATTTCTTCTATTAAATGTATTCGTTAAGAAGCGGATTAATTCGATGCTTTATTGATTTGTTTTCTGTTAATAGAATGGACAACAAAATTAGATACATCGATGTACATATCATAAGCTTAAGTAATTGTGTGCAATAGTTAATTACATTCAGAGATAACTTGATTGTTTATATGTTTATCATAACAATTCACATTTTCTAACGTATACAGTAATAAAAAAGATCAGTGTGTAACAACATCAACAACAACAAAAGAATAAAATCTGTGTTATTCACGTTCAATAAACAAATGAAGTTAAAGAAATTTAATAGATCTGAAAGTTAATCAATTATGATAATCTGGTTGATATCATACTATTCTAGATGTAAACATTCTTTGGCATAGCTATTCAAAGCATGATAACAATGGAACCCAGCAGTTGTATGTTGTTCGAGTTCGTACTCGTCAGCTAAATACACCTTCATCTCATTGGTGATATCCTTTCGGAAATTCGATCCCATAAATGATTAATTGATTTCACTCTTTAGCATCAACAATGGAAAGGTTCAAACCCTAACAAATGAATTATTTAGGATGTATCAGAAGTCATCTCTTTTCGTTCATTACATCTTAGGATATAGATTTATCTTTAATTTAAACATATGCATAGTTTACTGTGAACTATTTTATACTGCTCAATGGGAAGGAGAAGTCAAAGATGACAAATTAACACAGATTATATTCCAGTACTCTTACATACATTGTCTTATTTACTCGGTTTATTTTTCAAATTTGAATCAATTAAAATGGGTAGCATTTAACAATATCATATGATTAAACTGCTATAACTAACAAATGTAGGTTCTGTAATTACTCTGTCCTAACCCCTTTGTTTTCTGACTGAATTATATAAGTAAGTTTTCTGTTAGAAAATAACACAAAAATTAGTTGTCCGTATTCATAACCTAAGTCTTGATCAGCATAACTCAGTTACCGATTTCCAAAACTTTGTACTCAACTTAGAGGCCGGTACTTATGTGATGACTAGTAATATTACTTTTTTGTTTAAACTAAAGTACGTGGGTTTGGAGGTGAACCAGTTGCTGAATCGGTAAGAATATAGTAGGTAATAAATATTTTCATGTTTAAAGTGATAGTTATTAATTGTAATTAGAAGCTTGTACCTTGAAGGGTAGGATTTGGTTTGCTTCTTATACTCTTTGAGTAGAAAAAACTATGAATTAAAAATTAATGTTTATTTTCAATAGGATCTTGAAGCACAGATACTCTACTTGAACGTTGAGTAGCGTCTTTGAATAGGAAACATCAACTAGAATAAAACTCAGCTTGAATTTAAACATGTAATTTCATTAAATTATATAAGTTACTATACTCCTTATTTACACAGCCTGTAGAAAACTTACTTTCCAAGTAAAGTAATACTTCGAAGACTACATTATACGCCCAATATCATTATTAGTAGTGATTTGAACACAAATCGTCAAAGTAATGCACCAATAAGACTATCTAATTGCTCCACTGTATCCTGGGTTTTCCTGAAGATCAGAAGATTTACTAATGAATTCACTGTCCAATATTCCACAGCATTTGTGTTCATTACTCTCAAAAACTTTTTGTTCAGTAACTGTCATATATATGTATACCCTTTATTATGTCTTAAAACATAGCCATGCTTACCGACTTTAGACTTGAATTGGGTTTCTTGATCTTAATGTTGCGTTTTACTCTTCTATTCAATAAATTTCATTGCAGTATCTCACTGAAAGGCGAACCGTAATAGTACATAAATATATTGAGCGCTAGAACAATATTTTCTGAGTTAAGGCTCCGAACTGGTCACATTATTCGCCAAAGATCCCAATTATCTCCATTTTTATTTACTATCATAGTGGTCATTTTAAATATATAAACCTTTTTTTGCGAGTTTTTGGTGATCGATTTTTATCAGAAGATTCACTTATTAATTTAGATTGTGTTTAGATGATATACTTTTTTTGAGTGAAAATACACACAAAGTGCTGTGTCTTCTGAACGCTTGAGTACCAGTAAAAGAATGTTACTCTTACATTGGTCTTTATTCAATCCTAACACTGGTTGAAAATCTGACTTATCTTAGAAATCTCATGGCCCCTGTTCGGTCATTACTTGCAGAAAATTTGATGTGGATTCGAAAACCTCATTTGAATTCTAAGAAATTGACCCACCCACAGTAGAAGCAAGATATCCACCTGTTCATTATCTGCCTAGTTTACTGTACAGAAGTCTACTTAACTATGATTTTTGTCTGAGAAACTTGGGTTCTGAAAGTACAGAACATTCACAGTTAACTAGTATTTAACCATTTTTTTTTTCAAAATATTGATCATATATGATGGAATAGTCGACTTGTCACTTAATATAACTTCTTACCTTTTATTCTCTTTTGTCTTTTGGATGATATGATCATCAACATTACTATTATTCCGACTCCGTAGCCATTCATCTAGTCGATTTCATTTCTACGTGATCAATTTTTCTGGCAACTTTAATCGATGTAGATTTGTTCTAGGTTGAACGCTTACCTTGATTGGCTTTATACAACTAAGATTGTGGTGGTTCAGTCAAAAATTTTCCTCACACACTCCTTAAATGCATGAATAATTTTCTTAAAATATTCAAGAATAATCATTTTATAGGTCATAATATCCTACCATTGACTAAAGTTACCTATGAGATGACAGATAATATCGGTTCAGGGTAAGGGTATGGGAGATGTCGTAGTCTCTGAACCGGACGGTCTGATTATGGACTTTTCACTGCCCTTATGAACAACATCAGTAGACGAACCAATGGAACTAATAGAATGTGGCTAGCAGTGCTGTTCATAAAAGTACATGAGTGGATTTATTTAATAACTTTTCAACATAGGATTAGAAAACAATAACTTGTTTGGACAAAGTTAACATTAGTAAATTGTAGGCATATGCATACTTATCTACCTACTTATACATCTTAGTTATGTGTCTGATAAATAGTCTGGTGATCATTCATAGTTTGCATCACGGTGATGTACACTATGAAGTTCAACTACTTCCATAACACACTACAAAAACATTACCATATTGCTTACTAGAGATTAACTTCAAGAGGTAGCTCCAAGATTTCTAGTGAGAATACGTCACTAGTCTAGCTCACCAATGTTAGTCATGAGACGGATATCATCAAACAGTAATGAATGGTAATTACACAATATTGCAGACTGATTGATGTAAATTATTGGATTTCGACCCACTTTTCTAAAGTTTAAGGGCTCAGAGGTAGGCCTGCAGGATCTAGTTTTGATCTTCGGTCAGTGCATCATGCAAACTATTATCTTTGTGATTATGAAGCAAGAATTTATATAGAGGAGCATCACATTGCAAAAACAAACGTTACATGATACTTTCTTGGCCACTGTTTTGATAAATAGTGCTTATCTAAAGCAAAAGAAAAAAAACGAATATAATCATACGTAATATAGATCTGTCAAGTTATTGTTTCATATAAACATACCAGAAAACCAAATATGCTACTAAAACACATGACAGATTATACATACGAGAATACCAACACCAGTTTTGTCAATAAGGAGTACTTTAAATCTCGGCAGGCTATTTTGCTCGACTATTTTCAGTTCTCATTCTGTTCAAACTGGAAACCTTTTTAAATCTAATGAACCTGTCTTAAACGAGGTTGTATAAAACTAATTCGATAAAACTTCATCAGTTATCTAACATAAGAAGTAAGAGTAGTAGTAGTAGCAGTAGTAGTAGTAGTAGTAGTAGTAGTAGTAGTAGTAGTAGTAGTAGTAGTAGTAGTAGTAGTAGTAGTAGTGCTGAAAGTCGTCCAGGAAAATAAAACCTTTAAATTGTTAGAAAAGTATTCTTCCAGATAAACATAGAAATATATTGTAATTAGTAGATAGTGAAATGTATTTTTTCGTAAACTCTTCAGTTCTCCATGATTTTCATATATTTACTTACTACTGTGTCCGTTTCAATTCCTTTCATTTTAGAAGAAACTGAGCAAACTTGTAAAAAAACATGTCATCTATTTCGAATACACATACTTCATCTGGTAGGGATGCTGACAAAACTACTTCAAATGATAAAAATTGTTCATCATTTGAACTACCATTTATGTCTGCTCAGTCTTCAACATTATTAAATGGTAATACACCATGTGGTAATCCATCTTTATCTTACTTAAATGGTTTGAATTATTGGTCGCAGAAATCATTTCCTAACACAGAAGTACATAGTTTTCCAACAAGTACTAATTTCCTCCCTTATCCTGATGACCAACAAAAATTGCAACAACTTCAAATGCAACTTTTATTAATGGAACAAAGTGGTAAAGAACCACAATCGGTCACGAAAGAACATCGAATATTTGGAAATAAAATGGAATATTTAAGTGGAACTAATGTCAATGTTCCAAATCATAATATTCTTAGTGGTTCACAGAATATGAATTTTTGGAATAATCTAAGGATGCTACCGGAAATGCTTGGTAAGTTACACTTTAAGTATCTAAACATAAATAAATATATACAGAATGTTTTACCTCCAAATTATCTAATTATTCACAGAACTGGTTCTACTTATTGGATATGACATATCAAGATGCATAAATTCATATTGTATATTCAACCGCTTAACGTGATAGGAACTCGGCTTTCATCATGAGGCGTCATAGTTCTTCTAAATGAAGACCTTCTGACTCCCAGGGCCGAGTTTAAAAGGTTTGAATAATTCTTTCTGGTTAGCGTTTTTTAGCGAGTAAGTTTTCTACGGGATCAGGTCGCTAACTCCGTGACCTACTCTCCGCCTTTATCCGGGCTTGGGACCGGCAGTAGTCCCCGGAGGGATTCCAGGAGAAGTTACTTAACGTGATAGAGTCATAAAAAAGCTTCCAAAGACTATAATTACTTACCGTTCAATTGCCGATCTTAAGCAAGTACTTTTGTAAATAAATGAAATGTGCGAATTCAAATCTTGTTCCAAATGTTCACTTATCGAAAATAATTGAGACATTGATGTATCCGTTTTCTAAAGTTATTTTATTGGGTATTTTTTTAATAAGATGTCTATAAACTGAATTACTCAATATAGTTTTTTTAAAATCTTTACTATTTAACTAAATCATTAGTGATAGTTCTAGTTTATTTTGTCTTGACAATTTCAAAGTTTTTGATTGAGATCATGAACCGATTGATGTTAGACCACCATTGGAAACCTGGAAGCAGTGGACGGCAGTTTCGTTCTATTGTAGGACTTCGCAGCAGTGTGCATCCACGGTCAGTTGTGAGATGGTAATCGGTTCATGATCTCAATCAAAAACCTAATAATCTCCACAACCTCTATACCGATAATTTCAAAGTTTAACATAATCAAGTAGTTTTTCTGATAGTTTGTTACTACTGTCATTACTAGTATCCTCATTATTATTATTATTATTATTATTATTATTATTATTATTATTATTATTGTGTTGTTTACAAAATTGAGAAGAGAAAAAGTGAATATCCGGTGCTTTAACCGCTTGGTGGATACGGACGATTTACCTAGGGAAGTTGGATAACCCTGATTCCAAATCAATAATGTATATAAGCTCCGGTATCCTGAAAGAACAAATGGTATATGAATCTGTAGTTGATCACCAGTTACCATGTAATTGCATCTCCCCACGTTCCTCCATTGCATTGTGGATTAAAACGTTAGGTTGAAGGCTTGGGGGTCTGGTCCTCTACTTCGGTATGGGTACTCGGGCAGTATCATAGCCCTCACAAAAATCGAATAAGGCACATATGTATTTGTTCCCTTCTTGTACAAATGTTTATGTGTTTAAATAACTAATTATTACTATTATTAAGATGTTGTGCCAAGTGGTAACTAATGAAAGTTAAGTTTTCAATCAATAAAAATAGGTTGATTGAATCATTCAATAGATTGTTTTTGATTCGTTTTTTTACAAAATAATAATGATAATAACAGATGTTAGAATATTAAACTTTAAATTGTAGGAAAAGATTTATAACTCCAATGTCATATTCTTACAGTAATTATTCATGACATTGTCTAGAAATTAAAACTTGGAAGTTTCATAAGTAAATCATCTAGTTTAGAGAATATTTATTTATTTATTTATTTAATCACATAAACATTGGTACAAGGAGGCACCAAATATATATGCGCCACATAAATCATTCGATTTGTGTGAGGGCTGGGATACTGCCCGGGTGCCCAGACCGAAGCAGGTGGTTTTCTTAGAAGGCCACACCCCGAGCCTTGGACTTAAAGGTCTGATTTACAAGGCAATAGAGCATCGTGAGGAGATGTAGTCCCATGGTAGCCGGTGACCAACGATTGGTTCATACACCATCTAATTCCTCAGGATCCTGGAGCCCATGTGAACCATTGTTTTAGTATCCGGTTAAAGCGCCGGACATTCGCTTTTCGTCCTCTCATTTTCGTAGACAATACCCCCGCCACGAGAAGGCAGTGAGTAGGACTTCCCTGGCAGAGGCTGTATACGCGTGGCCGTGTGCGAACACTTCGGGAGGGAGGGCGGGGCCACTCCATTCTCGGCCATACCAGGGCATTTGGGGGCAGTTTAGAGAATAGAACACTGATAATAGGTTATAGTTTATTATTCTTAATATTTATGTTAGATAATCCTCATTTATACCTCTTAGTTCTATTGTCTAACAGTTCAATAATTTATCAATTGAGATAAGTGATTATAACTCATTATTTTTAATGGTTCGTTTAATGTATAAGGATTTATGTTTTGCTTTAGTGGATATAACCGACTGCAATTTATCAGCCTGTATTGATAAATGTGCTTCCTGGATGGATTGCCTTCTATCTAGTCATATAATTATAAGTTAGATGGTGGCTAGTAAGAGTTTGATTCTTAATATCAATACAAACATTGGGATGCAGGCACCTTTAGCTGACGAGTTTTAAATAAGACGAAACATGTGTCCTTGTTTCCAATTCCTTCCGTCTTACTTTATGGCAGTGAAACATGGCCAGTAAGAGTAGAGGATATCCGTAGGTTACTAGTATTCGATCACAGGTGTCTTCGAAACATTGCTCATATATCCTGGGACCATCAAGTAAGTAATGCAGTTGTTAGGAAACGGGCACTAAGTAAGGATGGCAAATCAATTGATGAAGTACTGAAACTTCATCAGTTGAGATGGCTGGGACACGTGTTACGTATGCCCAACCACCGACTGCCTCGACGTGCTATGTTCAGTGGTATAGGAGTAGGTTGGAAGAAAGCTAGGGGCGGCCAGACCAAAACATGGCACAAGTCCATGAAGTCTCTGACAAGTAGACTGAGTCATATTGGTGGGTGTAGACTACCTGGTTAGGGACCGCGAGATGATAACAACCGATGGTTAGAGACCCTGAATGACATGACTCAAAATCGTTTGCAATGGCGCAGGTGCACCCACTTTTTGTGTTCTCCCAAATTTTAATCTCCTGATTACTCCTTGTCTCTTTTTTCTCTTCCCAAATTTATTTCACTGGATTATACTCTTTAAATAACATCTCCAAACCCTAATCTTCCCGATTGCTGCTTATACTCTTACTACCTCTACCACTACGGAATTTGGATCGACAATTGCATCTCTATGCTTATGTGGTATGGCAACTCGAACTGATGTACGTATGTACGAAGTTCTACGTTGTTACTGACTGACTGACTGACTTTGTTTCCGATAGTAGCTAACATTTATTTGTTTTTAATAAAGAGATACTATTTTCACCTAGAAATCATATGAATTAAATTAAATTTTATTTTATTTACAGCTTATACTAATCCAATTATTAAAGAAACTCAAAATACATCTAGTGGATTAAGTATTCAAGATATACAACAATTAACATTTTTAAATCAAATATATAATCAATTGAATACAGGACAATCTAATTCTTTTAATGTTAATTCTATATCTCAATCTAATACATTAGTTACAGATATACCAGGTATTAATATTCCTGGAAATTATCATCCAACTACAATTTCTTCACAAGATGTCACTTTAACAGATTTAAGTTCTAAATCGAATCCATCAATTCATTTTACAAACAATGATAATTCAATGTTAGCAGGTCAAATATTCAATAATTTTTGTAATCTTCAAGCAGAAAGTCAAAAACAACGACAAAATAATATATATTTTTCAGATAATATTTCTGATACATTGAAGTATTCAAATCCAATACCTTTAAATAGTACAACATCTACTAATGAATTATATTGTTCCTCTGGATCAGTTAACCCAATGATCTTAAATACCTCTGTTCCTGCATCAAATAATATCACTTCATTAAATGATAAAACTAGTATTTCTTCTGCAAATAGTTTAGCCTATGCTCAAGCTTTAATGATGATTATGAATGCTATGTATGGTAGCTACAAAACTGGTCAAACCTCAGGTAAACTAACTTATTTCTAATATAAACCTCATTTTAATAATTTTATTATTTATATTAACAATAACAAAGTGTCTGTAATTAGGTTGAGATCATGAACCTATCCAAATTAGATAACGATTGAAAACTTGAATGCTCTGGATGACTGTTTCGTTTTAGTATGAAACTCTTTGAACAACCCCACATGTAGAAGTCGAACCAAGGACCCTCAGTTTCAGTTCTCAAGTGCGAGTTCGTAGAAGCTCACTTCAAAGGTATCCCATACTAGGATAAAAAGGTCATAGTTGTCTAAACTAGATCGGTTCATGATTTCAATGAAATTGAATAATCTCCACAACCCACTATAAAATTATTCTTGTTTAACTATTCAATTTATCATTGTAATTTTATCCATTAATTTACAGTTCATAATGATCAAACCAATGGTTTAAATCTACCACAGAGTGGTTTATTTAATTATAATACAAATCAACAGTCAATAAATTCACCTACTGTTACTAGTACACCATTGAATACAGAACCAAAAGAATCATTCAATGATGTTCTAACATTTCTAGGTCAATGTTTGAATAGTTCTACTAGTTATAATGATAAAGTAAGTTTAAAATGAATTAATTTTTCTTGTTAAAATAAAAATGTGATTATCTCTACATTAACTATCAATCAATAATTGGATAGTTTTCCTTAATCTAATCGTATCCTCGACCAAAACACTTCTATATCAATGATAATTTGTCATAATAATCGATAAATCTTATGCATTTCAAGCTTCAATTGGATCCATAAAGTAATAGATCTATAATTGGATTCATATTAAAAGTCATTTCAATATTCAAGAAGGGGAAAAAATCAATCCATTTATATTTTTTTTACATACAATTCGATCAAAAATTTCAAGTTTCCATCATTCTTAGGTCTAACTAGGAAAGAAAAAAATTATTAAAAAAAAAAGACAACTAATAATTATAGTCTAACCTATCCAAGTTTATGGTCAAGGTCATTGAATAAATGAATTAGGTTAAAAACAAAATGTGTTCACTATAGTCAGAATAAACACTTTATCATAAATATGAACCTTTGAAATATTCACACAAAGACATAAATTTATTTAGCCCAACATCATAAAATCAAAGAAACCAAAACAACAACAAAAAAAAACAAAAAAACTAACCAATCCCTTGTGATTTAATAGAAAATAAATATTTACTACAACAAAAAAAAATAATTTTGCTTTTGATTGAAAAATATTCTGCATAAAAGTTTCTTTCTTTCTTTTTCTTTTTTCTTTTCTTTTCTTTTCTTTTCTTTTTTGAGATATGAATGGTTACATTGAAGTGTTATTATATATTAGGACGAGTGATAAATATATGAAATTATTCTACAGATCACTTAATATGTGACATTTCATCTATTTGACAATTATATTAGTTTTTCATTGATTGAAATCATGAGTCAATTGAAACTAGACCACCATGGAAAACCTGGAAGCACTGGACGGCCATTTCGTCCTAGTATGAGACTCCTCAGTAGTGTGCATCCACAATGGTGTACGGTGGGGCAACTTCGTGGATTGGTTGAAGTTAGTCATTAACACCGCTGGCTCAGTGGTCTAGTTGGTTAAGCGCCTGGCGCGAGACTGATAGATCCTGGGTTCGGATCTCGCGGGCTGAGGGATCGTGGTTGCACACTGTTGATCCAGGTTTTCCATGATGGTCTAGCTTCAATTGACTCATGATTTCAATCAGTGAAAAATTTCTGAAAATCTCCACAAAACCTCTTCTGATAATTATATTAATGATCAGATCAACCATTACTTGAATTATTTTTAGTGTAGATTAATTCTAGATACTTAAATATTTAAAGTGGATCAAATCAATTTGTCTAATAGATTAATCTTTTGTGAAGTTCATTTGTTAATATACATAAGGCAATAGAAACTGATTAAATGCAATCCTTAAGTTGAGATTAACCATGGAAAACCTGGAAGCATTGGACGGTCGCTCCTTCCTGTTCTGAGATTCCTCAGCAGTGCGCATCCACGATTTCACTCGCGGGGTTTGAAACCAGAACCTATCAGTCATGCACGCGGGCGGTTAACTACTAGACCACTGAGCTGGCCAGCATCAAACTGTGTTAATGTCTAACTTTAACTAACCCATGAAATTGAGCGACATATCCACCACTGTCATCAGTGAGTTCCTATCTCACAACTGATCGTGGATGCGCACTGCTGAGGAGTCCCACAATAGGACCAAACGGCCGTCCAGTGCTTCCAGGTTTTCCATGACCGCTCATGATCTCAACTACTGATGTTACTACAATCTCCACAAAACCCCTCCTGATATATATATGGTGTGGTTTTGTTCTCTGAGCTGGATGGATTGGTCATGGATCTTTCATCGTTGTAATCAATCAAGATCTAAGTCTACAATATAAGCTGCGAATAATATGTGGAGAAATTTGAACACCACTTCTACCTGAATTTTGTGCTGATGATGTCGTTCAGAATAACGATGAAAGCCCCATAACCAAACTATCCAGTTCAGAGAAAAAAAACTGCACCAAAATTACTCATCTGAGCTACAAATCTTTTCCACCACCTCATATATATACTAAATAAGGTATCTCGACAGTTAATGCCTTAATATCCCATTGTATTGAATCCGCTGTTCATCTTGCTGTGCTAATGAGGTATGGCAACCTGAACCGATGCACATATGTGCCTGGTCCTACGTTGTAGCTGACTGACTGACTGACTGTATTGTTAACACAGGTTGTTGAAGTACATATTGTGTTCAACTTTATTCAGTTAGTAAACTTAAAGTCATTAGATAATTTACCCTATTGATAAATTTATATCATTAAGTTATATTCTTCTGCTTTATCTTACTTCCTTAGACGTTGTCACATCGACAACAGAATACATCTGTGAAACAATCACAGCAAGTAACAAATCTCTCATGTTCAAAGTCTACTACCACAAAAAAGTTATCTGGAAGACAAAGAACGACTAGCAGAAACCATCAGTCAGGTCAACCGACTACATCTACAACAACTCATCGTGGTAGAGGTAGACCACCAAAATTAGCTGGTGTACAATATCAAACACAAAATAAACAACAACAGCACAAACGAAATCAGTTGACAGCTCACAATGATAGACAACCACAGGTTAGTAAGACTGATTATCGACTTTTGTATGTTGGTCACATATAATGTACATAAATCACTTATTGTCTGTAATGAAACTGCTTCATGAAATCCTTGTTTAAGAATGAAATAATGTAAGTTATAATGGCTTTCTGAATATTCCAAAAAATGTTAGTCAATAAGGAATCACAATCACTTCTAGGCTATGGATCTGAGATGGGTAAATGATGATAACAGAAAATGATTGTACATTATTTGAGTAGTTTGTAGAGGATGTCTTTTAATAAATGACACTAGTTTTATATGGAACTAAGTGACGATTGTCACAGCCAATATACAAAGTTATCTTTCCCACTACATATCAGTATTTTACTGAGTCTGTTGTGCTCTTATATACGTCACTAACAGTAGTTATGCCAACGCCGTTGCTGTACCTATCACCTAATCCACATGTCACGTTGACTCTCATGGCTCCTAACATACAATCTGAATAGCAGAAGTCTTGAGGATTAGTCTCAGTACAATTATTATTTCCCATCACAACTGACATGCTTATATTAGTTAGAAACAAGACTACAATTTATGATCTTAATGAATATTCAAAGAGGACATTTTAAAACCTAGCTGAATAACACATAATTAACTGATTTGTAATTTATGAACGGTAAAAGATATGACAAAATTTAATGAATCCAAATACGTTACAATGGAGACTATGTAAAAAAATAACATGAAGCAGTACTTTGATGGTTGTACAACAAAGACATACAGGCTTATTTGCCCCATAGTTGTCGTCCAAGTTCCATACTCCCTATTTCTAACCTCGTCTTTAAAGTACCGAAGATTTGTTCTCATTTCGTAGGTATAGCTTACAATATTGTATACACGTCATAATTAAAAACAGTACCTTTGTGATAAAATTCTTTAAGCTAACATTTAAATAATGCTATTAGGCTTAGAGATAATTTCATTTTACGTATCTTGAAATTATTCAGCGATAAAATTTCTTTCGGTAGATTATTGATCGATGCTGAAAAATGCATAACAAGACTTAATGTGACGTTGTACAGGGGAAATGTTTACTCTCAAATTGTAAAAAGCTGAAAAGTAAACTATACTTTTGAGTTTTTAATTATCAGTATAAGAGAATTCATAAAAACATTTCTAGGGATTTGTTAGTGATGTAAGCTAATGTAAGCGTATTAAAACAAGCAAAGCTCATCTGGAACATCTGAAAGTGGTCAGGTAGTTCTACCATGGAATAACATGATCCCAATAAAATGAAGAATACCCTAAAGTAGCAAACAGGTTCTAACTATAGTTAGTTGTATAAATTAATATATACAAACTAAATTTCGGTATACTAGATTTAAGTAGTAAGATTGTATACTTCACCACAACAATAACAAGTATAATACGGTGTATTAAATAGTTTAAATATTGGTGATAATGAGCAAGCAAAAATCAATTTTAATATCATTACCTCAACGACTTTGCTAGTAATGAAAAAACCCCTATATCAGCTTCTAAAATATAGAATGGATTACAGACAATTTTCTTAATTAACATCATAAAAATATGCAAATTAGCTGGAATACATCTTAGTTATTTTGTTTCCTGATTAAGTTTTCACATCGATTTTTCACCATAATTCAGTACTATTGCGAAGAGAACTTCATGCATAAAAATATGGGGGAAATCGAAAACAACTAAATGCTCAGCTATCCTTTGACCAAATCTTTGCGCGGTTTCAGAAAGTTCGATGAATGTTTTCTAAATTCACTTGTGACGTGTATACTGCTCAGCAATCTTACTTTATGGTTGTGAGGCATGGTCTTTGGGTGTAAGAGATAGGCGTCAATAGTTTTCTGCCGGCAGTTATCATCGGAGTATCGCTGACGTTTCGTGGAATGACCGAGTGAGCAATGTTGAGGCATAGGGCACTAGGTAAGGGTGGAAAATCGTTTGACGAGTTTATTAATCTTCGTCGATTGAGATGGTTATGGCACGTACTACGTAAGCCTAACCACCGCTTACTTCCATAGATGATGTCCACTGGTGTACGAATAAGTTGTAAGAAGGCTAAGAGTGGTTATTGAAAGACATGACATCAATCTATGAAGTCATTGACTGTTGATCTGAGTCATGCCAGTTGATGTCCGTTCAATAACTGCAGTCAAGGGCTGAAGATTTTAAATGGTTTGACTCGTAATCGTTAATAATGGCCCAAAAACACTTACCTTTTATCTTCCTCTCAATTGTGAATCCCAGTATTCGTCCATGTATACCTTTACTAGCTGCCTTTTAGAACCCTATTCTCAATGCTTAGTCTTTTTCATTGTTATTGCTACTACTTTATTGCGATCTCTTTTGTTATGCTTCCTGCTAATTTCGTCTCATCATTATGATACGGTATGACAATTTAGGCCAATACACACTTTTGCTAAACCCTATGTTGATAGTGGTTGACTCAGCCAGTTCACTAACCCATTTGAGTGTCATGTAAATTTCCTCTCTTTTGACCGTATAGTCTAATTACTCTTTGATCTTTCATTCTTTTTTAAGGACAATACTGTAGGAAATTCAGCTGTTGTATCTGATAGTATATCTCACTGCGATCAAAACTGTTCTCAAATGAAACCGGAATTCATCATGTCGTTTTCTAAACCAAAAGGCAATACACATGGTGTTACTGATATGAATGATTTGAATACGTTCCCAGGTTCTATGTATTTCAGTGAATCCAAAATTAAAATTGAACCAGATTCTCAAGAAAAAAAGTTACTTAGCACAACTACTGATAGGAATGAATCGAGTGTGGAGGAAACTATTGACGATGTTCTGAAAAGTATTGCAGACTGTAAAGGTGATCTTGCAACATTAGCTAGCCAGTTGGCATATAGTACCCTAGGAATAACTTCAAACAAACAATTCTGTAAAGATCAAACTGAGGTTGATAACAATGATTCATGTATTGTAAATATGAGCACAACTTCCGATTTAGCTTCTAAACTATCTGGTAAGTACATCAATTTTCTATGGACTATGATTTATTTATTTATTTGAACACATAGATATTGGTACAAAGGAGCACCAAATACATATACACCACACAAATCACTTGATTTGTGTGTCCCCCATAATACTGACCGGGTGCCCAAATCGAAACGGGTGGTTTCTCAGATAACCACACACCCAAGCCTTCAACCTAAAGGTCTAATCCATAAGACAGTGGAACAATATAAGGAGATGAAGTCACATGATAGACGGTGACCAATAATTGATTCATACACTATTTGTTCCCTTAGGATCCCGGAACCCATGTGTATCATTCGTTTGGAATTAGGGTTTCCTAACTCCCCTGGATGGATCCTCAATGTCCACCAACCCAGTTAAAGCACCAGACATTCGATTTTCATCCTCTCAATTTGATGAACAACATCCTCGGCCACTTGAAGACAGTGAGTAGGACTTCCTTGTCAGTGGTCGTAAGCACGTGTTCATGTGAGTACATTTGGAGAGGGAGAGCTGACTCTTCCTACCTTCGGCCGTACCAGGGCATTGGAGGGCTTAAATTACTTAATTTCTAATTTCGTTTATTTGTTATACCTACAGTAATTTCCAACCTGATTTCTAGCTTGGTCATTGAACTGCTTTTTAAATATTTTCTCAGCTTTAGTCAAGCAAGGAGTTCTTATCTTTTTATAATTTAATAAAACTACAGTCAATGACTCCAGTAGTATGAACATTGTTTTCATGCAACAAAGTCTGTAGAGCTGTGTATCTTATGCATCATCTGTTCTGGAGATCTGTAATGGACACGAAGTCTTTCCCAATAGTTCCACTTACACCTTAGAATAAACCCTGAGAAATTATTCTGTAAGAAAACAAATCCGTAGACTATTTCTATTCTTTTTAGATTCGTACTATGGATGTAAAGACAAACAATAATTCATTGTTTCATCGTGACCAGTAGAGTTTAACGATATTAAATGTGAATTAACCATCAAACAGATTGAGTGATTGTTGCACAATGTAACAAATTAATAGAAATTAGACACACAAACCACAACTCAGTGGTCTAAACGTTAAGCATTCCGCACAAGACCTGTTTGTCCTGGGTCACCGGTGGGTTCATGAGTACGGATTGTTGAAGAATCTCATTCTAGTACAAAACAGCAGTCAATGATCGTCATCAATGTAAATCAAGAAATTTCAGTCAATTTTTTAATGAAAATTATAATACAAATAAATGCTAAGTCTGGTAGATATTGCTAAAATTCATTGGTTTTGTAACTACCTATAAACACTTCCAGTACTCTAGAATAACTTTCAGTCATATTTCTTCCAAGTTTATGTATATTAATAAGTGTATAACTCACTAGTAGGATCTTGTTTTTTTAACTATTGGATACCTGAAGTATGAACAAATGCTTATCAGTTAAGTTGATGATCTGTTGGCCCATTTGTATTGGTCACAAAATGATCATCTATTTCATAACTTTAAACTTATTGAGTGGTTGCTAATTAGCATGACTCATGAAGCAAACTAACCTAACTAATAGGTCACAAAATTATTGTTAAACTAGATAGAGTGCAATAAATCTTAAAACCTATCTCAACATTATTTTATTCTAAAGACCATTAAGCCAAAATAATGATGTCCACTGCAGTAAATAACCTATCAATGGATATAAATTAACATTAAATTCAAAGTAACAATCTATCTTACACGCGACCTATCGTCTTTTTATAATTTTCTTATTTTTCTATTTACAGATACAAATAATCCGTCTTTAATATCCCATGGACAATCAAGTTCACATGTCCCAATTCATTCCGAGTAAGTTCGTTTATGTTACTCAGCTTTTGTAAAACATTGTTTATGTGATGATATACTATCCAACTGCTAAATTAAAATTGAATGTAGAAAGATTCTAACCTTTGACCTTTTGTTTCAAACACAAATTGTTTAACCATTAGGCCATCACTTTACAATTTTTATAATTAACAAGATGTCTAATATATTCACTGTATAAATACCGTGATTTATACTAGTAGCTACTAATATATGACTTGTCTCAAACTTGAATAAGATATGATATTACATTTAATGAATATTCCCCGACCGTTACTGCTACCTTGATGTGGTGATCGGGCTTGCCTTCCATAGTGAACCAATCGAGTTGTACTGGCTGGAACAATCGTTCCTCAAGGTCGTACCATGCCACACAGGTCGGTTGAAGAACTGTAAGACTAAAAGCTGTAAACCCAAGGTCTGAGGGTGACCTCTTTACTGGTTACTGTACAGAGGTGTGACGGAGGTAGTGTGTTTCCTTCAGACAACTAGCATAACAGCGATGTCTTGTCACAAGGAAGGGTGCTTATATGTGCCTGGTCCTACATTGTGGCTGACCGACTTATGTATATTCTCTCGTCTGTATTTGAAACGTTTAATCTTAACTATAAATGAATTCGAAAGGAAATAAGACTTATAATACTTAAACCATTACAATCTGAAAGTTTATCACTGTAGAACTTGATATAAGTTAACTTGAAGATGATAAGGTTATTTTCACTTTACAATGTGACATAAAGTAACAAACGAGTCCCATAATAGGACGAAACGGCCATCCAGTGCTTCCAGGTTTTCCACGGTGGTCTAGCTTCAATTGACTCATGATCTCAACTGTTGAAACAAGTCACTGTTTGCTTTGAGCGTTGTTAAAAAAGTTTCATATAGTGAATTCCTCACTAAATTAATTAACAATCCAATCATTAAAACTATTACAAAACTGATGAATATTTAAACGAACGATTGTTTTCAATAACTTTATCATCAGGCTCTACAGTTATAAGTCCATATTTTAACAAAGGCCAAAATAAGGCATATATTAATGAATTTAACAATGTTATTTGTTAATCATGGTGAACATTTGCATCTGTTACGACATAGATCACTTTAAAATTGTGTTATTTGTACAATTAGAAAGGTCATTCAATAAAGGTCAGAATGATTTGGAGTAAAGTGTCAAGTCACACTCAATATAATAATAAAACAACAAAATGAAAATGAGAAAAAAATAATGTGGATAAGATGTATAGTAGGAACATTTCATCTTGTTAATCAATATAACATAATAATGATAAGATCGTTGTGTGGTTATAATATGCAATAAGAGGTATGTTATCAAGGTAATTACGATAAAAAAAGAACTCATGTGAATCAAGAAAGATGGATGTAAAGATTAAGATAGATGTAATAAAACAAGGGAGCGAGGGAGGTAAGAGGTTTATAATATTTAGTTTGGGTACCTGGTAATCCAGTCATAGGCAATGTAAACATAGAGGCTGGATAAACCTTTTCTGGATACATAAGTTCGGTTTTCTGAAGTTGATGCAGATGACTTTGGCTATGTAGAATAGCCGTAATCCAGTTTCTTGAGGTAGATTTCTTTGGAACTTCATATCAAACAAAGAAAGCTTTTTCTATTTTGATACGATGTTCACTATCTACCAAGTTAGAAAGAATAGTACTGTCAATCGATTTAGTAACTCCTTTTCCCAACCATGCTGGTACATGTTCAAGAACACTCAAGGATAAAGTCCTCTGAGTACGGCTCATCAACGGTAACCTACCCTGGATTTGTTGTGTAAGTAGTGGTTTAGTTGAGAAAATCACATGTAACTTGGAGGTGTGTAATGTCCTTTCAACAGATCTTTTGAGTCGACGTGTTAAAATGTCCCTCCTATGTCTCGTTCAAAGCCCAGCTTCAAAAACAAGGTTTTTTTTACTGACTGAGTCACAGTTTATTATTTTTTTAATACCTTCTAATAGGGATTTTCTGCAGGTTATCTGGATAGCTGTTATTTCTTTACGTGTTCTTTAGTGTATCTATTTCGCCGTCTACACTATTTTCAGAACATATTAGTTTGATTCTGTGATTGAGACGTTTAACCAACTTTGTTTTGTATTGAAGAGGTATAAAGCTAAGGAAATAGGTATACTGATCTGTCCATGTGTTCTTTCTTTTTATGGAACCATCTATCCTTCTAGAAAGTAGGACACCAAAGATAACTATATTATTATCTTTCTCCTCTTCACCATCAGAAGAGTTTCATTTCTTAACCTAAATGAATTAATCATGAAAATTTCATAGTTATTATTATTATTATTAATGGCTTTATTCAATATTATATTTTGGTACAATATAGTACAATATATAGTTCTCCTGAACAACCTCATCAGGAAAAACTTCAATGGGAAGTTTCTGTTGGTGATGTTGTTCAGAAGAACAACGTAAACCTAAAGATTAAGCCATCCAAGTCAGACAACAAAACTCCACCAAATCTTCTCTATCATCTGACTGTCAATCACGTCGGTCAAAAACGAATACTGTTTTCATGATTGAAGCGATACAATATAAATCAATACTAAACAATCAAACCGATTAATCTTCTCTGATTTCGTTCACATTCATCTATCACTTGTCCATTATTCATGCTCCTTATCCCAGCTACAACCAAATAATATATTTCCATAGTTTAGTAATAAAAAATTATCCATATAATTGTGAATTTCAATATAAATCTGGGCTAAATAAGCAAATATTTTACGAATGGACATGTTATACTCATATACATTTTAAAATAAACTTACCCTATGCACATAAAAATAGAAGAAAAGAAATACTGATATTTTTTTGTTTACAACCATAATAATATTTATAAACAAAGATGGATAGTGGCTAGCAGTGGAATCCACAATACACACGTTTCGTCCTATTTAGGACTCATCAATTGTATGTATCTGAATCTCAGAATTGATATTCACTCTGGGATCCGAACTGAAATATCATTCGTTTCAAACACCATCGTATTATCCACTTAGCAACTAAATTTTAATAGCCACTTGCTTTATGCAATTGGAGGTGGGCTGAATTATACACCAATATATACCAATAAGAGACTAATCCATTACAGTTCTAAATATGAATGAAAAGATTCAAGTATTAGTTTCTTACAAATAAACCAAACTTATTATGAAATTATTTCATTTCTATTTTGATAAAGATGTTTGATTTATTTTGTAATAAGAAAAAAGAGATTTCTAATTGCTTTCATATGTTATGTAATTGATCTTATCTCATAAGTATAAAATCCATAACGATAATTATATTGTTTATCCGACTATAGTTCTGTTTGTTTGTTCTTTTCTTATAATAAGAATCCAAATTCATTTAATATGTACAGTGATTGCAAAACTTTTTTGATTTTGTATATTTCTCCCCGAAAATCTTTTTTTGTTTTTTAATATACTTTATTTTATTTATTTCAAAACATAGATAATGGTACAAAGAGGCACCAAATATATATGCGCCACACAAATCTTATTCGATATGTGTGAGGGCTGTGATACTTACCGGGTGCCCAAACCGAACCAGGTGGTTTTCTTAGGGGGATCACTCCCCGAGCCTTCGACCTGAAAGTCTGATCCACAAGGCAGTGGAGCATCGTAAGGAGATGCAGTCTCATGGAAGCCGGCGACCAACAATTGGTTCATACGCCATTTGTTCCTTCAGGATACTGGAGCCCATGTGCACCATTGGTTTGGAATCCGGTTAAAGCGTCGGACATTCGCTTTTCGTCCTCTCATTTTCGTAAACAACACCCCCGCCACGAGAAGGCAGTGAGTAGGACTTCCCTGACAGAGGCTATATAATATATTTAATATACTATGATAACATGAATTGTTTAAGCTAAATTATAGATTTGCTCAATCAAGATATTCAGAAAAAGAAATCTATATGAAGTATAATTTAGTAGAATGATGTGAAGATGTTAAAATTTGATTTATTGTAAATGCTTTGGTATGGCTGAGGGTGGGGAGAGTTAGCTCTCCATCTCGAAATACTTTCACATGGACACGCGTATATAGACTCTGCCAGGGAAGTCCTATTCACTGCATTCAAGTGGCCGAGAATGTTGTTCATTAAATTGAGAAGATGAAAATCGAATGTCTGGTGCTTTAACTGGGTTGGTGGACATTGAGGATCCATCCAGGGGAGTTAGGAAACCCTAATTCCAAACCAATGATACATATGGGTTCCAGGATCCTAAGGGAACAAATAGTGTATGAATCAATTATTGGTCACCGTCTATCATGTGACTTCATCTCCTTATATTGTTCCACTGTCTTATGGATTAGACCTTTAGGTTGAAGGCTTGGGTGTGTGGTTATCTGCGAAACCACCCGTTTCGATTTGGGCACCCGGTCAGTATTATATGGGACACACAAATCAAGTGATTTGTGTGGTGTATATGTATTCGGTGCCCCTTTGTACCAATATTCATGTGTTCAAATAAATAACCTGAAAGTTTAAACAAATAATCTGAAAATAAGTTATGATGGAAACAAGTTTTTTTTATTAAAAAAACAAATCAATAGAAACCAAAGTGAATGTTTTGTTTATTATGTTCGGAATTTTTCATTTATGATAATTAATATAAACTATATTTAACTAATTATTCATACATTGAACATGTAAACCACATAGTGATCATAGAAAATAATAACTTCACTAGAAAGATTTGTTTATAGGAACCTTTGATTAAATATAATTACAAACAATTGTGTTTATTTCATTGTAGATGGAATCTACAAGATGTTACTAAAAATGTTAGACAAATTGGTATGTTAGGAGGAGTTATGTTCTTGAATGCTCTTGGACAAGATCTATGTAATCAAGATGTGAGTTCTTATTTAAAATCTTGAGTTTTTTTTATTTTCAGATGTTACTACTCTAGAAGTTTGTTTTTCAAATGGTTGTTTTTCATGTGTTACATAATACTAAATTTCTTAAAAATGTTTAAGTTAAACAGTCTTTTAACAAATAACAATCTACAGAATAGATGAATTTTGTTTCTAATACTGTCTGTAAAAATTCTCATTAATATTAAAAAATATAATAAATAATATATGCTGAGGAGTTTCATACTAGGACGAAATAGCCGTCCAGTGTTTCCAGGTTTTCCAGGGTGGTCTAACTTCAATTAACTCATGAATTCAACTATTAAGTAATAATAATAATAATGTTTACGAGTGGTTGCCAACTCGAATAACTGATTAATTTTATCATTACAAAAGAAATAAAGAACTATCTTTTGAGAATTATAGGATCAAATTCTTGAATTATCCAACGCATTAATTCTAAATTGTTGACTTACTTTATATACTAGTTGTTCGAATAATAACCCATAGAACGATCTTTGATGTGTCTGTTCCTGATCGTAGCTGTTATCATGACGTTGTAGTCAGATTCGCCTATCATGATGATCAGCTTAAGTCATACTGACTGGAACATCTTTGTTCTCTTAGACACTATATTGATAGGTGTGGGCTGGCTGAAGAACAGTAAGATTAAAAGCAGCAAACTAAGCTTTAAATGCAAGTTGTACCCCGAATCCTGCCAGTCTTGTAGAAGTACTTTGCACTTCGGAGGTACGGTGTGTGCTCTGCACCTTCGAAGTGCAAAGTACTTCCACAAGACTGGCAGGATTCTAATCCTGCACTCACTCTGGATGGTGAGCAGATAGAAGTAGTCGAGAAGCTCGTGTATCTGGGTAGCTGCATAAGTGCTGGTGATGGCGTGAGTGATGAGATCAATGCACGTATAGTGAAAGCCAGAGCGGCTTATGCCAATCTGGGCCATCTTTAGCGCGTTGGTGCTGTTAGTCTGGCTGTAAAAGTTCAGATCTACAACGCGTCGGTGAGAGCAGTTTTGCCCTATGCTTGTGAAACCTGGTCTCTCCGAGTTGAGGACTTTAGACGACTCTCTGTGTTCGACTATCGTTGTCTCCGAAGGATTACTGACATCCAGTGGCAACACCATGTTAGTAATGCAGAGGTTCGGCATCGTGTGTTCGGGTGCAGAGACGATAATTCAGTTGGTGTCACCATCTTGAAACACCGACTTCGGTGGCTTGGACATGTTCTCCGAATGTCGTCCCAGAGAATTCCACGTCGTGCATTATTTGCCGACTCTGGGACTGGTTGGAAGAAGCGGAGAGGTGGTCAGTGTATGACATGGAGTCGTGGTATGAAAGAAAGCTGCAAAGCACTGGCTGGGGTCCGAGAGATGGTTAACACAGTGGCTAGAAACGTTATCAGATATGGCTCAGAATAGAAGCCAGTGGCGATCCTTCTGTAACCTTTTACTTTCTTCATAAAAAGTGGTTGCTTCTTCCTTAATTGAAAGATTTCTTCTGATTGTGCCTTTTCGTTTCCCCCATTATTATTATTATTATTATTATTATTATTATTATTATTATTACGCTACCTTACCTTATTCTGCTCGTTATTATTCTCTTTTTTGCGCTCCTCACCTTTTCTCCTTCTCCTCTTCAAATTCTCATTGTTTTGTGTGGTGTATATATATTTGGTGCCCTCTTGTACCAATATTTATGTGTTCAAATAAATAAATAAATAAGTGTACCCGAACTGTAGTGGTAAAGACGAGTTTCAAATGTTTTTTTTCAGACAGTTAGCATCTCCAGTCACGATGTTTCATCACGGAGGAAGGAAACGGTTAAAAATATCGATCCTAAAAAAATGAATACTTAACTTCCTTGATGGATTTCCAAAGCCGGCGGCACTGTTTGAAAAATAATAGAGCTGGCACATCAAGTAATACACACAAAGAGGTATTGCATGTTAAAACTCAAGCATTTATTCCTTGGGCTTTCATGTCACTCCCAAAGTTGTAAAGATTATTACTAACCCAGTTTCATTCTCAAGTTCCTCACGTACAAGTATCCTTCCACAGTGTTAGCTACAGGGAAATTTCAACCGCCCATAAATCTCTAACAGTAATCAAGATAATCCTTCATCAAATGAAATTACTTGTCTTGAATTCTGCATCTTTACCTTTATCTCAAAACTTCTTTTCCTTACTGTTAAACTTCAATTTACTTCTTGTGATATTATCCATAACATAATCAAAAGGTATAATACCTCTATTAAACATATTCGAGATAAATTTCTTAAAGATACATTACTATGACTTATACTGTAATATTGTGATTCCATAAGTGAAAAAATCGATACCTATTCTAGTCTCAGTTCTACAGTTTTATCATTCCCAATTTTCTATAGTTTTAATTACACAAGATGTAAAACAACTTGTTCATGAGTTATTATCCTTCAGTTTATAGAAGAAAAATAACCGTGTAATTATGTTTAAAAAATGCTATTTTGAACGACCTTAGATTCTTTAGTGGGGATTTTAATAGTTTTTTTCTTAGTAGTTGAATTCATGAGTCAATTGAAGCTAGTGAACCATGTAAAACCTGGAACCACTGAACTGCCGTTTCGTTCTAGTATGGGACTCCTCGGCAGTGCTCATCCACGATCCCGCTTGCGGGATTCGAACGGTCTCACGCGATAGGCCACTGAGCCGATCGGCATTCAACGGTGTTCATGTCTAACTTCAACTAATCCATGAAATTACTCCACCGTTCACCGTTGTCATCAGTGAGTTACTATCTCACAACAAACCCGGTTGAACTCCACTGGTCACGGCATCTCACTAAAACTCCAGGAAATACCTCCTGAATCCAGCTTGTGTTGTTACTTTTCATAGAAATTATTATCTCATTGAACAATATTACTATTTTAATGTTCAAGAACTTTGTAATGATGATTTTTTTAGAACCGTTAAAATATTTTGAGTACGGTTATTATTACGTATAATTCATTTCTATTCTAAATGAAAATTATGTTAGAGTGAACTTATTCACGCTAAAGTTCTAATTTTCAACAAATTAAAAATGATCTTAACGTTTGCTTCTAGTTAACTTATTTTATTTAGATAACTAGTGGAAGCCTGGGATGTACTAAAGAGCAGGCTTGTTTTAGTATACAACTTCTTATTAGTGCACATTGATGATCACAATGAAGGTCGAACCCAGGACATTCAGATATCGTGACGAGCGTTTAACCATAAGGCTATTGAGCCGATATTCAATGATTCATGTATTTCAATCCTATCAATTAGCAAAACTGAGTGACTATACCGTTGATTTTTTATACAACCGGTATTACTGACTCAGTTAAAGATTTAATTTCGATATAATTTCCCATTATGTTAGAAGTTTATGAATCTCAAAGCTAAAAATGTAGTTGACTGTTAGCCTTTCTAATTCTTCTAAATTTTTAATTCATTCATCACTGCAGTGTTTAGTGTGATGGAAAATATAACTGTTCACTTTATAAATGGCTTATATATAGGGATTACTAAATAAATGAATACATTGTGCTCTTAACGAATATTGACCATCAATTAGGTAACTCTTGACATTTTTGGTGTTGCTGATTACACACAGATCATAGTTGTCGAGTTGATGTCGTCCATTTTTAGTGAAAAACAAAACAAGACTTGATATTGGTTAGTCTCATGTTGTAGCTTTAAAATTATTATTATTTGTAGCCTTTTAAAGGTGCATTCACATTATAGCCAGTAAGTGTTTAGTGCCGGATTTTAAGCATTTCCTATGAATAATTATCTTGTTTCCATGTAAAAAGATTCATTTGACTGTCTTCTCTAACTCCATCACTTTTATTAGTAATGGTTGGATAAATGTATATATATATATATATATATATATATATATATATATATATATATATATATATTGCTTTATTGACCAAGTAATTCTGTCTTCTATTGAATTAAATTTTATAGAAGGCGCCTAATACAACAGGAAATTCTTTCAACCAATCTGAATTCACAGAAACAAATTTAAATAATTGTGCATCATCAACAAAATGTAATTTGAATACTGTTGTTGATTCTAAAGGTTAGTGATTCAGTATAAACTAATTGGTCTGTTATATTAATTTCTCAATTAAAAATGTACAAATTTGGATTTTCACATTACTAACTGATTGTAACTAGTTAAACATTTAGATCTAGGAAGCAACAGATACCTGTTTTATTCTAAGATGGGACTTCTCATTAATATCTATCCACGACTTCACCAAGGATCGGACTCAGAGATTTCAATTCTTGCTAACAGCGCTTAACTTTCTGAATGCGATGTTGGCATCCTGTAGTATATATGCTTAATCTTAATCTTTTCACGATATTTTACAATCATTATCGTTTACTATTAGTGTTATTTGTTTCATGTGTAACATCAGTGAACTCCGCTAGTTATGGTTTCTCACTAGAACTCAGGGAATTGTGTATTGATCTTAGTTATTTGCAAGTATATGATAATTGTTATTGTTGGATATCGCAAAACTTACTAAATTTGATATTTCAGGTCACATTTCTTGTCGATTGATCTATACTTGTTACAGGAATTGTTCGTTTTAATTCTGAATTAAATAGGATGTTCTCTTCAAAAAAATTGATTAACATTATTTGAACTTCTATTGTACGTAAGAACTACGACGATCATAATTGAGAGTTTTGTAGCAAAAATGTCATTATTCTTAATTCTTACCAAAATATCTATGATTCTGATAGGTTCTCAGTGGTTTTATTTAAATGTATTAATTTACATTAGTTTATAGGTTTGTGGTTTATTTAGAAATAATGTGACTATCTATTATTATTGATTCCAGTATGATATGAATATCAATATATTTCTAAAAATCAAGTTTCTGAAATGCTCCTATTCATTTTCAGTCTGTTTACCGCAAATCGGAAGTCAAACTGAAATGAAATCCATATGTGATACTAGTTATTCATTCTGTCCATCCGAAGAAAAAACCAACTCTTCTATTGCTTCAACCTATTCATCTTTAACTCCTACTAGTTCTTTTATGGATCCAAATCAAGTGAAAATGTTTCCATATCATGTTTCTCAAGTTCATCCGAAAACAGATATGTGTATAAATAATACAAAAAATCAGGAAGTACCAGTACAAAATCAACAGTTATATCAACTAACAAATGAAAAAACACATCATGGATTATATAATGGTACATCAGAAAATGTACTTAAATCAACCAGTTTATCCAGTTCAGATGATAACTATTCTCATCTTTCTTCTAACACAACAAATTCATTGTATCAACAAAATTCAGCTGTAAGTTTTATGTTAATATAAAATATGAACTCTTCATATTGTCACGTATATAAGCCTTTATACTAAAATAGTACTTTCAATAGTTGAGATCATGAGTCAATTAAAGCTAGACCACCATGGAAAACCTGGAAGCACTCGACGGTCGCTCTGTCCTATTGTGGGACTCTTCAGCAGTACACCCCGTGTCGCGAGGTTCAAACTTAGGACCTAACGGTTTCGCGCGAACGCTTAACCAGTAGACCATTGATACAGTCGGCATCAAACGGTGTTAATGTCTAACTTCAACCAGTCAACGAAGTCGAGCGACATACCCACCATTATTTCTCAATAGAACTCCAAGAACTACCTCTTAAAGTCAGCCACTAGTGAGCATATGTTGATTAGTATCAGAAAGGATTCTTGAGGATATTATAGTAATTTCAGTAGTTCAAATGATGAGTCAGTTGAAGCTAGATCACCATGGAAAATAGGCCACGTGTTTCGTATGCCTGAACACCGATTATCACGGCGCGAAATGCTGACTAGTGTTGGAAAGACTTTTGGAAGATAGTTAAGGGCGGCCAAACCAAAACATGGCATCAGTGCTTGAAGTCATTAACTTCTAGTCTGAGCTATGTTGGCAGATGCGGACTACTTGGTTGGGGTCCGCTTGACTATCGTAACCAATGACTGGAGATTCTTGGTGAAATAGCTCGGAATCGATCACAATGGCATAGATGTATTAACTCTCTATCTTCCCTTAAACTAAGAGATTAAAATCGCTTCATATCATTCTTTCTACGAACTAATTCTTTCTTCCTGCGCTATATCCTTATACACAATTTTTCTTTTATATATTACCACCACTGAATTAACTACTTCTATGAATTTGGTGTTCATCTTGTTATGCTAATGAGTGAGGTGTGGCAACTTGGGCCGATGCATGTATGTGCCTGGTCGTGCGTTGTAACTGACTGACTGATGGAAAATAGTACTGTTTTAGAAATTGCGAGTTTTTTTAAGTATAAAGAAAATGATTATCATATTCTCTCTGAAGATTGTAGAGTGAACTTTTAAATCTGAATCATAGTGACTATTTCAAATCATGTAATGAAATTGTAACTACCATTAAACATTCAAACAGTTCAATATATAGTCAGAAAAAAAATCAAAAAGTCTGCCAAAGTTTTTAAAAATTTAAAATATCATTCAATAATTATTGAAGTGATCATTTATTTATTTGATATTCTTGTAAAAATCAAATGGGGAGGTCATATTAAGTTTAAGGTATTTTGATCATAATATCATTCAATGATATTCTTTCAATTTTGTTTCAAGAAATGAAGTATCGGTTAAAGTATAACGTATGATGGTGAGAAAAGGAAGATATTTTATACTACATCAAACATAGGTTCGATGGAAATAACTTTATACATTACATAGAACGTTTAAAGTTGGTTGCACAAATTCTTTCTGATAATAATAATATGAAATGTATCATGTGCTCCCTTACACCTGTTAAACCTTGTGGAAGGGCATAAGCCGACCATTATCATTCTCCATTCAATCATGTCCTGGGCAATCCTTTCCAGCTCCTTCCAGTTGTTATTCATGCCTTTCATGTCTGATTCTATTTTCCGACGTAATATGTTCTTTGGCCTTCCTCTTTTACACTTCCCTTCAGGATTCCAAGTTAGGGCTTGCCTCGTGATGCAGTCTGGTGATTTACGTAATATATGTCCTATCCACTTCCAATGTCTTTTCCTAATTTTCTCTTCAGCTGAAAGCTGGTTTTTTCTCTCCCACAGTAGGCTGTTGCTGATGGTATCCAACCAATGGATGTTGAGTATCTTGCGTCGACAACTATTAATAAATACTTGTACCTTCTTGTTGTAGTTCTCGAAGTTTCAGCTCCGTACAATAGAACTGTCTTCACATTCGTTTTGAAGATTCTCACTATGATATGGGTTGCCAGTTTTTTTGAGTTCCATATATACTTCAATTGTAGGAATACGGCCCTTGCTTTGCCAATCCTTGCCTTTACGTCTGCATCTGATCCTCTTTGGCATCAGGTTCTCACTGTATATAAATTTACATTTTGCATAAGCACATGAATCAATCAGTTCTCATTTTAATTTACTTACAAAGAAATCATTCAATCATTTATCCACTAAATAGTAGATGAACTAATGAAGTAGAAATGTTGAAACAAATGATGATTCTTTCATTCAACTATAGCAACAACATTAGTTCTCTCATAATTCTATATCCATGACTCTTCAGTTAATTAAATAGTACAGATTTTGTAGATGCGGATGAATGTTTTATTTATTTGAACACATAAATATTGGTACAAAGGAGCGCCGAATACATATACACCACACAAATCACTTGACTTGTGTGTCCCCCATAATACTGACCGAGTGCCCAAATCGAAACGGGTGGTTTTCTCAGAGGACCATACTCCCTAAGCGTTCAACCTAAAGGTCTAATACACAAGGCAGTAGAACAACATAAGGAGATGCGGTCATATGGTAGCCGGTGACCAATAATTGGTTCATACACTATTTGTTCCCTTAGAATTCTGGAACCCATGTGTATCATTCGTTTGGAATTAGGGTTATCTAACTCCCCTGGATGGATCCTCAATGTCCACTAACCCGGTTAAAGCACCGGATATTCATTTTTCATCTCAATTTAATGAACATCTCCGGCCACTTGAATGCAGTGATCAGAACTTCCCTGTCAGCGTGTCCATGTGAAAGTATTTCGAGATGGAGAGCTAACTCTCCCCACCGTCGTCCATACCAGAGCATTCGAGGTCTCTAAATTGTTAAAATCGGAAAGTTGACAATATCTATTGTTCGAGCAATAAACTTCTTATAATCCCTAAGCTTATAACAGAATCCAATGCATTTGTTGAAAAATACTTATGACATATACAATCTCTTTCCTGATTAGATAAAAATGAACTTTAAAATCATTCAGTTGTTTTTAAAGAGTGATACGTCCTGAGTTCGAATCTCGCGAGGTGTGGTCATGGATGTACACTACTGAAGAGTCTCACAATAGGACGGAGTATCCGTTCAGTGCTTCCAGGTTTTCCATGGTTGTCTAGCTTCAATGAATTTATGATCTCAACTATTGATATTATTTCAATCTCCAAAATACCCCTTCTGATACAAATCACTTAACCTTATTCCATTTTTTTTAATACTTTTAATCGAAACATTTATGTTTACTGCCAAAATATTTCATTTCAGTAGTTTATTTTTAATATGATTTTTAATACTACTGATATACATTTATTATCATTAAACATTTCTCTCTTTTTTTCTTTCTTTTTGTTTTCTTTTTTCTTCTTTTTTTGATTAGGAAAAAGAATATTTAAAAAATTTTTTCATTGAATTTGTTAAACAACAAGAACAATTACAAAAAGAAAAAGATGAATTCATAAAAGAAGAACAAAAACAATTAAAAGAAATGGTAAGTAAAATTAATTGATTATGCAATATTGTTTTGTTTGTTTTTTTGTTTTTTTTTTTAAATTAAAAAAGAAAAAAAACTAATTTAGTTGAAAGAGATTTTGTAATTGGTAGATGTTGGGGACGTTAGATCCCCAGAACTCACTTAGGAAAGGACCTAATATTGTAATTTTATTTAGAAATTCGAATTCCTTTGTATTCGCTCCAAAGGCTCTCTTGTCACCGTCATGCCGTATTTCCCACTGGGAAATATCTTAAATGCTATTGGTTCGTTGCGTCTTTTAGTATGCTATTTGGTAACTCTCCCCTAGGACGGTTTTTTACTGTATATGTACGTTTTGAATTGTGTTTATTGTTATCACTCGTTTCTGGCTGTTTGCAGAATATACTTCCCCATTCCAAGTTTGGAATTCTCCCTCTAGGTAGCGGGGCTGGGACGCATCAATAGCTAGCTTATTGGTCTTTGGTCACCGAGCCTTGTTTCTCGTTCGCAGATTAAGTGAACTCGTGATAGCTTCAACCCTAGCAGTAGATTGTACCACTAAAAATCAGGGAACAATATATAAATGTTTTTAAGTGCTGGATAATTCATTAGTGTACTTTTATAGTCCTATCAGGAATAGAATAGAGGGATATAAGTTTATTGTGGAGAATTCTAGTGAAGTTTAATTTCATTAAGAATGAAACAGTTATCACCAGTGACATTGGATGATCATTTTGTTATAACACATATTAATTGAAGATAAGGTCAAGTCATTGAACACTGAATCAGCTAGTGGTTGTTTTGGTCAAACGTTCATTGTGATATCTGAACTTTCCTGTTTGTGCGTCCATAGTTAGTCATTGTTCAGGTATCCCATACTAGGATGAGACTTTTTTCCAATGTCGATTAGTTTTCAGTTATACCTTAAATGATATCAATCTGTAACAAATGGAACCTATAAATATTGAAACTACTTAATTCATTAAAAAGATATTGTTTATAATGTATTTTTAATTATCATTATATATGATATAAAAAGATCATAATGCAGTTACGGCTCTGCATTTACGTCTCTTGGCAAACTATCATTGTAAATGATAAAAGGTTTTTTAAATAAGTGTTTGTAATTCCTTGTTTGGTCAGCTTTGGTTGAATTCTCAATACAGACGTCAACACTGAGATTCAGGTATATGCACATAACATGTTTGAAGGAAAAGAAAAGCCCGCGTTATACTACCAGTTACATATCGATGATAAATATATTTTTTCTTTTTATGAAACATTTCACTTTTCTTTACACTCATGCTACTGCTCCATAACTTCAATAACTGATTAATCTGGAAGCACTGAACAGTCATTTCATGTCATACTAGGACGAAACAACTGTCCAGGGTTTCCAGGTTTTCATTGATGATCTAATATAGATCGACTCATGAATTAATCTGTGAAAATAATACCATCTCTACAAGTCCCCATACTGATAATTGGTTAATCGTAAGGTTTTTTGAAAGATTCAGCTTTGAAAAAGAAATGTTATTTCACACATCGTATCTCATAATGTAAAAAAGTAAGAGTTTAGAAAAACGAAAAACTGTACATGAAAAAAAAAGAATTAGTCAAACAATCTTTTCAAGAACAAACAAGTGCATATTTAAAGATAATATTTTATTATTTATTTATTTGAACACATAAATATTGGTACAAGAGGGCACCAAATATATATGCGCCACACAAAACCTGGAAGGACTGAACGGGCGTTTCGTCCTCTTGTGGGATTCCTCAGTAGTGCGCATCCTCGATCACGCTTGCGGGATTCGAACCCAGGGCCTTCAGTCTCGCGCGCGAACGCTTAACCTCTTGGGCCACTGAGCCGATAATATACCATACTAAGAGACGTAATTCAATCGACATGTATGTAAATTATTACTTATCACTCAGCAATCCCTTTAAGTTTGTGTTTTAACAAGATATAACATATACAAGTACCTGTAATGTATACAGTATTAATTGAATATTATTTAAGTGACTGTTAAAATATATGAATATTTGGGTACATTGAAAAAGAATTCCTTAAATTCAATAAAAATAAAAACTGTAATATTTTGAAAGTAAAATGCAATTCCATATCATTGGCAATCAGAATAATGGTATTGTGGTGTGTGCTACTGATGTCGACAGATATAAGTAGTATGTATCACTAACCGAAAGAGGAATACTTGACGTTAAAAGGTTGAGGAAATCGAAAAGATGAAAATGAACACAGAGAGTGATTGCTATGGAAACGAAGAAACAACAAATTCTGAGACAGTTGATGGATATTTTGCAAATGAATTATTTACTACATAATTCTCAGATTTTATTTAGAAATTCTGTAACTTTGTATTGAAATACATTTGGTTGCTCCAGCCTGTGTTCTCCTTTACCACAGTATTACATATATCAAATCAGATTTGTAACTGACAATATGATTTATTCACGTTCTAAATATTCGTTATCAGTAACCAGGAGTTGGTGTTATAAACAATCTTTTCAGTTCCATCACTTAATAAAATCATACATCTGTAATTGTCAACACCATCCTACTGAGAAAATAATGTTTATACTGAAAATCACTTCCATTTAAACATATTATATGGCATATGTTCTTATATTTCTATAGATATGAATTTTTATGATATATATTCGTTGATACAATCCTTATTTTTCTTTAATAGAAAATTCGGGAACTTATTGAGCAAGAATTAAAGAGACCAGTGGAAGACCTACGTCTGATTGATCCTAAAGTAAGTTATTTCATGATAGTCTAATGTTAATACTAGTAACTGGCTTCAAGATCTATTTCCCGGAGTTCTAGTGAGAAGTCATGTCAGGTAGAGACAGGTATCTACCTCAGACAATTGATGATTGGTTGCGCAAGATCATGGACAGATTGAAGTTAAACATCAACACCGTTGAATGCCAGCCGACTCAGTGTTCTGAAGGTCAAGTGTTCTCGTGCGAAACGGCAAGTTCTGGGTCCGATTCTCTTGTGTGAGATTGTGAATACGCACTGATAAAACGGCCCATACTAGGACAGATAGGCCGCTCAATGCTTCCAGGTTTTCCATGGTGGTCTAGCTTAAATCGACTTAGGAATTCAACTATTAAATTAATACTATCTCCACAAACCCCTACTACTTTCTTAACAACGGTTTTAGTGACTTTGAAAGGGAAGTTAAATTAAATTAAAAGTGGGATTATAATACTGTTTGAAATCCAAGTTTAAACTAGGTTGATACTGTTGACTAAGTATAAAAATTTCGTAAGGGGTGAGCCAATCAAAACAGAAAAATCTGTTCGTGTTTTGCGCAATTTTCAAAAAAGGAATAATTTTATATTCCATCAAATTCAGGTTCTATAGAAATAAATTTATACATTCCACATTTCAATTTACTCACAAGGAAATCATTCGATCGTTGGTTCACTGAATGGTAGATAAATCGATGAAGTAGGAATACCAAAATAGGTATGGCAGCAACTATATTTCTCTTATAACTACATCTTAATAACTCTTTCAAGAATTTGTTGGTAAGGATTTCGTTGTGAATGAATGTTCTACAAAACAACTTATCACTATGCGAAGGGCTCAGAAATAATCCATTAGGGTCAATAATTTAACACTCAGATTAATTATTTTATGTAATGATCGAAAAACTGATAATATCATTTGGAAGATCAGTAAAATTCCTGAACCAACCATAGTTTAACAGGTTTCAATTCATTTGTTGTAAAATACTTATAGCTCTATGTTAGTTGAATAAAAATGATTTTGGAATTATGCAGTCATTTTGAGAAGTCCTCAACCTCGTTCATATACCATACTTTTACCATTTGAAGTTTGTCTTAGACGTCAAATAACGTCGATGAATAACAGATAAACTTCGTAACGTATTAGATATTATATTCGCATTCTAATCTATCGCCACTGTGAATGTCTAAACTAGGATCCAGATATATTCAGTTGACAAGTCCTGGATTCCACTGTTATCTGGAAACCAAAATATCTATAAAAACATTTAATATCGGTTTAAAATTATATTCGTGAATTAATTATAGTTATAGAATTATCAAGCTGAAAAATATATTATTCCTTGTACCAACAGTTTATTCCGTCTGTCAAAACCGTAAATTGCTTACCATTCTCATTATTTTAGCCTGCTTTTAAAAGATCAGTTGTGCTACATTTTCATAAGGCTCCCGGTTTATTTAAATTTATTTATCGCTCTCTCAATTACTTACTTACCCACGCCTGTTACTCCCAATCGAGTATAGACCGCCGACCAGCATTCTACAACCCACTCTGTCCTGGGTCTTCCTTCCCAGGTCTGTCCAAATGTTTTCCATTCTTCTCATGTCTGTGTCCATTTTTCAATGTAATGTGTTCTTTAATCGTCATCTTCTCCTCCTTTGACCTTAACTATTCCATGTCAGGGCTTGTTTTGTGACGCAGTTGAGTGCTTTCCTCAATGTGTGTTCTATCCACTTCCAGTGCTTCTTCCTGGTTTCCTTCTCCGCTCGAATCTGGTTTGTTTTCTCCCAAAATAAGTTGCTGTTGATAGTGTGGTGTTTGGCCAACAGATCCGAAGTATTTTGCGTGGACAACTGTTAATAAATAGTAGTATCTTCTGAATGATAGCTTTCGTAGTTCTCCAGGTTTCCGGCGCATACAGTAGGACTGTTTTGACGTTTGCATTTTTAGCGTGTTAGTGTTCTACGGGATGGGGTCGCTAACCCTTTTCCCAAACCCCCTCCTTTATCCGGGCTTTGGACCGGCAGTCACCTCAAAGGGGCTCCAGGTGAAGCTTTGCTCTCTCAACAGAATTCATAAAATTTAGAAATTTAAATAACATAACTCATCAGTAACCACTATCTCATGTATCATTGTTCACTGTATACATTATTGATTTGAAAAAATAAAAGTACACAGTACTGTCAATGTTACATTCGAAATTTCAAATGAAATTCTGACCACAATTTAATTAAATGGTGTAATTTACTCATCAAGTTGATATGAATAAAGAATGTAATCACAATTGATTGGTCACTGGGTGGTGATCAATGTCATGTGTGTCAATTCCTTATTAATACAGATCGAATGCTATCGCTCAGTGGTAACGTCTCTGACGTTGAAGTTGGGTGACACAGGATCGAATCCGTCAGGGAGCACCAGTCCCCTCAAGATTACACGTACACCTTGCTGACGACAGGGTTTCCTGTTGACTACCTCTAACCACCATCCGATGTGAAGTGTTTTTTTTTGGGGGGGGGGTATTGCGTCATTTGTTCTCACTCTCTGGTGATCTTATCATTGAGTAAAGCATATTCATCTGTTAACTGAATGTATTGGCGATATATATATGTAGTGTCTCTTGTTTTTTTTTCTTTTTTTACAAAATATTCAGCCATTACCAAAATTGGATTCAATCCCAGGTAATAGAATGACTAGAAAAATGTTTGGAAATTGTCTTATGATTATTGAATTCTTACATGCATTCTCAGATGTATTATGTATAGGTGAGTTGGACAATAAAAGAATTCTATTATTAGTATTTATTTATTTATTTATTTTCATTATTGATTAATTTGTTTAAATCAATATTCAAGCATATATATAGATCTATGGATAAAATTACTAATTAAAAATTAACCAATCAGAATCAAGAGAACAAAGTTGGATTTATTAAGAGAAGTTAAAAAAAAGAAGAAAAAGAAGAAGAAAGAGAAAGGAATGACTTTTATGGCATATCAACTAAAAAATAAATAAAAAATAATTAAGAATACTTACGTGCAAATCTAAATGTTTAAGAAGAAGTCATTTCAGTTATCAAAGAATAGAAATGACCGTATAAAATATATATATATATATATATATATATATATATATATATATATATATATATATATATATATATATATATATATATATTACTTCCGCTTGTCTTTGTCTCATTACCCACATCTTGGTAATTCTTCAATGAATTTGTTCATCAATAAATATTCTATCAAACTATTTATAGTTAATATGAAGGATTCTGGAAATAAATATCTTAGCCCTGTGATAAGTTCAACAGTATTCAATGATATTTTTCTACAGTATTCAGATTGTAAAATATAGATAATAAACCCTGAAAAACTAAAAGAAAAAACTTTTAAAATCATTAAACCTTAATATGTTTTATTATTTCTGTGGAAAAATACTTTCAAATTATAAAAACTCCTTCTGAATAATCACAAGATTATTTCAATGTTACTGTTTACTATTTTCGTGGATTGGTTGAAGTTAGACATTAACACCGTTGGATGCCGGCTGTTTCAGTGGTCTAATGGTTAAGTGCTCGCGCGCGAAACCGGTAGGTCCTGGATCGCGGATGCGCATTGCTGAGGAGTCCCAAAATAGGACGAAACGACCGTCCAGTGCTTCCAGGTTTTCCATGGTGGTCTAGCTTCAGTTGACTCATGATTTCAACCAGTGAAACTTTTAAGATCATTAAACTTTAATATGTTTTATTATTTCTGTGGAAAATTACTTTTGAATTGTAAAGACTCCTTCTGAATAATCACAAAATTATTTCAATGTTACCGTTTACTATTTTCTATATTATTAGTTATCTTGTATATACTTAAACATTTACCAGCCACGCATAATTAGATCGACACAGTATCATTTATTTTCATAATGAAGGAAATGTGTATGACTGTGAGGATTGTATGGTTTTTTTTTTGTTTAAATTCAGGTGATTAATCAGCAAGACTATAATTTATGGACGAATCAGTCAGATTTAGGATATTTTATTTATTTTATTTCATGCACATAGATATTGGTACAAGGGGGAACCACATACATATGCACCACACAAGTCACCTAATTTGTGTGAGGGCTGTGATACTGCCCGGGTGCCTAAACCGAAACAGGTGATTTTCTTAGGCGGCCACACTCGGAGCCTTCGACATAAAGGTCTAATACACAAGACAGTGGAACAACATAAGGAGATGCAGTCACGTGGTAGCCGGTGACCAACGATTGGTTCTTACGCCATTTGTTCCTTCAGGATACTGGAGCCCATATGTACCATTGGTTTGGAATCGGGGTTTTCTAACTCCCCTATGTGAACCCTCCGTGTCCACCAACCCGGTTAAAGCACCGGACATTCGCTTTTCGTCCTCTTGATTTTATGAACAACATCCTCGGCCACTTGAATGCAGTGAGTAGGACTTCCCTGACAGAGGCTATATATGTGTGGCCATGTGAGAACAGTTCGAGAAGGGGAGCTGACACTCCCCACTCTCAGCCGTACCAGGGCACTTGGGGGCAGATGTAGGATAACAAGCCTTGGATTTTGGTGCGAAATTCATTCAATTATTTGTCTAAATAACATTTTGGCATTTTAGCTTATATCAGTTCGTGATGAAAACTCTAAATCGAAATCCTAACTCTAATCATCAATTGTAAATCATATTCCTTATTCTTCACACAAGTTTATAACTCTCATTTAGCCTTAGTACATAGGTGAACATTCTTAAGGCCACTTTAGCGTCGTTCAAAGATCGTCCATTAACGATAGTCTTTCTGATTAATCTGATCTCATTATAATTATTTATAAATAGATATTGTTGATATCAGATGCTCTTAATAAACAAATGTCAGAAAAATGGAATAACTCATTGGTAAGATGTGAATCAACGACATTACACATACTTATATACAAAATATGTAACATATCAACAATTAGTATCAGAAAGCGTTTTATTATAATAATAATAATTATTATTATTAGCTTTATTCAACATTATATTTTTGGTACAACATAGAATTCTCAGCATAAAGTATTTCAACAAGTTTCCTTTTCTTATATCTTGATCGATTGTGACGATAAATTTTGAATGATGACCAGTTAGATGTTAGGAGTTCGGTAATCCATATTTGATTAATGTTCATTCGTTTCAATGCATATTACCAGCCACCATGATGTCGCTGATTGTACTTTTTTGTATCCCGTATAGCGAAAGGTTGTAAACTTTTCATAAACGCGCCTGGATAGATTGTGAGCACAATAGACATAATGATGTGCTAAAACAAACAACAAAACAGATAACTTGAAGAAATATCTAGATCGGAGGAACAGGTAGCCCAGATATTCAAGCAGGCATTGTATTAATTTCAACAGTTGAGATCACGAGTCATTTGAAGCTAGACAACCATAGAAAACCCAGAAGCACTGGATGGCCGTTTCGTCCTACTGTAGGACTTTTCGGCAGTGCGCACCCACGACCTCGCCTCAAGAGATTCGAACCCAGGACCTTTCAACAATTATTAAATATAGATCTTTAAGATTATTCAAGGATTGTCCTTTGCATTATCTATGTACTTATAGTATAAAATAAAGTCAATTAATTTATCGTTTATCTATGATATCTATTGATCAAATCTATTTTCATTTTATACACTACATGTTATCATCAATAAATTAATGGACTTTTAAATGAATAAAATATTTGCACGTTTATTGTGTACTTTTAAACAAGTTTATTAGTAGCCAGAATTTCGTCATATATTTCACTTGAAATAACCTTCCAACAGATAATTAGTTGTATTTTTTCTGTTGTTACTAGAGAAATTCACTTTAAAAGTTTACAAAATGATGATTCTTACATTAGATTGAAGATAGACAATACATAAGTGTTATATGAATTAGCATGAATTTTAAAAAAATAGTTGACAAGGCATTAAATGAGCTCGTTTGAGACAGATTCCGAAATAAACGTGATCATTTAGCTATCAATTCATTGGAATATATATATATATATGTCTAAGGGTTAGAGATAATCGAGAAACCTTCAATATAGATTTCAAGCTAGTTAACACATGGTAACAAGAGTTAACAAGAACTACAACAGATCGATGCTCCTTATAAAACACGAACCTGAATCATGTAGTTTTAAAATCTGAAAAGTTAACATAAAGTTTTTCAGGGACAAACTATCCTTGACTACGTCCAATTATTTGACATGAAAACATAGTTCACACATTGTCAAGTTACTGAAACCTAAGGCATCATTGTAACTGGATATATAGAACTTGACTAACCTTAAAGATTAAAAATACATGATATTGGTCACTTCTCAATAATCGGTTAATATATACACATATAATCTATATATATAATTATAAAGTCAAACCATTAACCTTATAATAAGAAAATTCAGTCTTTTCTTTTAATGATAAATTATCTTTGGAAAAATAAATGATAAACAATAAAGTAAGAATATTGATTTCTCTTTTCTCTCTCTCTCTCATATGTTGTAATTACATTCCACATAATCATATATATATATATATATATATATATATATATATATATATATATATATATATATATATGTATACTTGAATAATTCTCAAACCAACGAAAAAACAAAGAGATCAGGTGCTGTGTTTCTTCCTCTATCTATATATGTAATGAAATTGTTTACTACCTTTCGGCCTTTTACCAACTAATAACTAAGGGAAGTTTAAAATATACATATATACATATATATCTATCTCAATAGATATAGTTTTCGTCTGTCATTTAATTCAGTCTATTTATTCTATTAGTCGATTAGAATTTAGAAATGGATAGATTTCTTTTTAAGCCGCTTTAAATAACAATATTAAAAAAAAAACTGTACGTATATTTTGATGTACGCCTATATGTACTTGTTTCTAAGTGTATATGTGTGTATGTGTGTGCGTGTGCGTGTGCGTTTGCGGTGTGTGTGTGTATGTATATATTGTCTTGTATATTTTACGCGTCATATTCAATGCGTACACATTTTTCTACAAATAAGATATTAAGATTTTTAAAAACGAATGAATATGAATTAGAGATGAACAAATAAATAAAATATTAATACAAAACAACAATTGATATGTATATATATTCGTGAAAATCAAGATAGATACAGTTTTATGCCTCTTTAGGGTATCGATGTATGTATCTATGTATATATATATGTATGTGTGTGTACATATGTGTGTGTGTGTGTTTGCTTTTGTATATATTCTGTTAATTTACAAGTATACACATATAATACAGAAAATATTAAAAGTTTAATAGTTTTTTTCTTCGTTTTTCTTTTCTATTTTTTTTATTTGATAAAAATTCAAAAATCAGCCTGGGGGTATTTTTACATATAAACATAAATTGAAATTTCTGTCTATATTATTCTTATTATTCTTATTCTAAAAGCAGAAAAATATTGATAATATTACTTAAATAAATAAATAGTCTAAGTGTAAAGGCAAACGTTTATTGTTTTCTTTCCTCCTTTCTGTCTTTCTTTCTTTCTTTCTTTCTTTCTTTTTCGTCTTTTTTTTATTTGATGAATAATTATTGTTAAATTAATTGCCTAGTTTATATTTTAAATGAATCAATATGATTTTAGAAGGTTGATTTATACTAAAAACGAAGAATGTATGTGTAAAATCTCAGCGAAAGAATTTGAAGTAAATCCAACGTTTCAGCTGGCAATCTGGTCCAAACGTTTTCAAGGAAATATAATCAAATTGCCAGGTGAAACGTTGGAATTACTTCAAATTCTTTCGCTGAGATTTTACAAATACATTCTTCCTTTTTTAGTGTTTAACATTAACTCGGCACCCAAATATTGTGAAACTATTCGTTCAAATTTAGACGAAAGTTCTTATTTGTTGATTTATACTATTTATGGTTTACTATTGATATAAATTCTTTTGCTTATAATGAAAGATCAAATTATAATAGTTTGCCTTTCTCCATGGTGATTATCATATCAATATGATAAGATGTATTTTTGAACACAAATATATTTTAACGGTGAAGATCATAAGTCAATTGAAACTAGACCACCAAGGAAAACCTAGAAGCACTGGACGGCCGATTCGTCCTATTATGGGACTTTTCAACAGTGCGTATCCACGATACAGCCTTGCGACTTTTAAACCCAAGAGGTATTTTTTGCAGCTCGAGTGAGAAGCTGTGGTCAGTGGAGTTCACTCGGGTCTGTTGTGGGATAGTAACTCACTGAAGACAATGATTGATGTATCGCTCAATTTCGTGGCTTAGTTGAAGTTAGACAATAACATTGTTTGATGTCAACCGGTCTATTGGTTAAGCGTTCGTGTGCGAGACCGATAGGTCCTACGTTTGAGTCTTTTGCGTGAAATCGTGGATGTGTTTCCACAACTTTCATGGTGGTCCAGCTTAATTCGACGCATGAATTCAACTAACAAACATATTTGAATATATATATATATATATATATATATATATATATATATATATATATAATATTATATTTACTAATTAATTCATTATAGTCTATGACTGGGTGATGAGAATGGCCATGAATTTTTGATGTGATTGGCATAATATATTGTTTTGTCTGATCGTCCTTAGCTAATTATTGTATATTTGACAAAAGGTTAGTGATAAGTGATGAGGGTGTGTGATTAAGGCAGAGAATTTGGTTGAAATTATGTTCAGTGATGTAACGAATGAGTTGACAGAGTATTGATGAAGGAATTCATTGAGAGACCACTGAATTTAGAGAATGAAATATTAAATAAATTATTACCATATTGTTATTATTATTGTACTAATTATTAGAAGTAAGGTTATAGTTTATTGTTACATTATTGTAATCCAATCAACCCCATCTTAGTGTTCTGGAGGTTAAGCGTTCACGTGAGAAGTTGAAAAACTTGAGTTCAATTCCCTATTTTGGAGTCGTAAATGCGCATTGCTGAAGGTTCGTTTACTAAGACAAAACGTTTGTCTTATAGTTATGGGATTTTAACAGTTTTCTAACCTAAATCGGTTCGTAATATCAATGAAAATTAATGTGTTGTTTGGTTTGAATACATTCATCAACACTATAGGAATAAACTTTCTATCTGATCATTAAAATTTGTTTGAATAATTTTTACTAAATTTTTATTAAAATAATTTCCATTGAATAAACCATAACAAGGTTTATCTACAATCTTCCCAATAGTATTATTGAAAATCACATATTATAAAGACATTTTCGCCAAAATCTTAAGTTGTAGCCAATTCATATCCAATATCTTTTATGTATCCTAAATTTCTAATTGGTTTCTAGACCCTGAGATCATTCCAAATATGGGAGAATTACAATCTGCATTAATTGATCGAAATCCTCAATGCCAACGGTTTCTTGTACATTTGGTGATTGGATTGCTTAAACTCGCTGTTGAGGATCCAGGATTGCCAAGTCCAAGACTTGTAAGTTTTAAGTAGAAAAATCTATTTTTAGAACCAACATCCCACAAGTTAATCAACAGTATATTCAAATATAATATCAGGGTATTTATGTCATTCAAGTCACATAACAATACATCGAGCGATCAAATCTGTATAAATAGACTATCTAGAATTATTATCCTAGTGGATCACTCGTTGGGTGCCTGTAGTGTAAGGTACTGGATCAGAATCTCAGTATAAGCATTAACATTGGGATGTAGGTACGTAAATCCAACAAACAAATTTTAAATCGGATGAAACAAATATTCTGGATTTCACCACTAACCTCATACTAAGTTAAAAGAAATTTATAAGAAAGTGGTTTTATTAAAATGATCCACCTAGATTATACGGTAAAAGAAACTGATCGATTGCAGTTTTGAATGTCAACAACGATCAAATACAAGCCCTTACTAAATTAAGCATTTTTTAAGAAAACTTTGATTAACATTTCACAAAACAGAATTAATTTAAGTAAAGAATTATGATCAGTGGAGCTAAGCTAATTGAATCAGAGTTGGTGCTATTATTCGGGCACAACTTTTAAATACTCATCACTAATCCAGTTTGGTTCCAGTTAAAAGATAACTTACCTGACTGAGTGCCTGCTTTAATGATTAATGAACGCATATATCTTTCACATATATACAATAATCAATCAAAATACTTCAAAAATTCAATGTAATTGAAGTTGGAGTTCTGTGTTATCATAGGTTACTGATCAAGTAATCAAAAAGCCAATTTTATAATGAATCTTTCAATCATCAACTTTGTGGCAACATTTTGATTAGATAGACACTATCTTGTAAAAGAAACTACATCTTTCATTAAGTCTCACTGAATCCTAATTGACTTGATTAATATATTTCCAACTAAGTATATTTATATTATTCAGTTAGAAAGTGATGAATGTAATTTCTTACTTTAAAAAAAGTGTTAAAATAGAAAATAATAATAGAAAAAAATATCTGCATTCCGACGTTTAAGGTAAACAGTCATTCGTACTATAAGCAAAGATGGATAATGGCTAGCAGTGGAATCCAGAATACGCGTTTCGTCCAATTTGGGACTCGTCAACCGGATGTACCCGAATCTTAGAGTTCATGTTCACTCTGATACTCGAACCTAGTACCGTTCACTTCAAACACCATTGCGTTATCCGCTTAGATATTGAGTTCTGATAGTCACTTGCTTGTCCAATCAATCGTTATATTTTCTATAATGAAGGATCGTCTATCAAATAATCTTCTAAATTCTTTTTTTCTGTGTGTGAAGTATTAATGTCTATCTTATAAACAATGTAAGGGAGATGCTAATAATATAATTCAGACATAAACCAAGGTTATATAGATGATTAAAATACATTTTCAAGCTTCATATTGACTATGTTCTATTTGTTTCTGTGTATATGATACTATAAGTTAGCTCTACGTGTCTGTCGAGTTTATTTTATTGTAGACAGAATGAATATCATTTTCTATTCACACAAACCTCAGGCAGAAGTCTCTCTTAAGAAGAACGATGAAAGCTCCACGACCAAACCATCCAGCTCAGAGAACAAAACTCCATCAAAATACTCAAAAGTGGAAGGATTTATTATTAAATAAGAACTTTCGTCTAAATTTGAACGAATAGTTTCACAATATTTGGGCGCCGAGTTAATTTGAGACATTAATAAGAAGAATGTATTTGTAAAATCTCAGCGAATGAATTTTTTAAGTAAATCCAACGTTTCACCTGGCAATCTGGTCCAAGCTTTTTCAAGGAAAATATAATCAAACAACAAAATTATCGAATATAAGAATTCTCTGTTTATTAAATTCATAAGCATGCATTGATGGTTAGCGTTTTCTTGTTTTATCAAAGTTGTTTGAGGATGTTGACTCCATGTGGAATTCTTCTTCTTTTCTCCAACTTGAGATCGACAGTAACCTCAGAAGAGCTACAGTCAGAGTTGTGTATTGATGAGGAATCTTTAATAAATTGATAAATAATAAAATTGTTCAATGTTTATTTATTTTCGTAACCTTAAATTTAACATAATATAATTTGTGGATTGTATTCATCACAAATTAATCTCATTTAAGGTGGTATGGAAAATCAGGAAGGATTATAGAACTATCTTATTACGTTATAGAACTATTCAGTGTTATATACTCACAATCGCACTATCATTTATTTATTTCGTATTTAAGGCAATTCTTTTTTAATCTAATATTCACTATAATTGTTGCTTATAGATTACTCAATTACTTGGTCAGAAATTTAATGAAATAGAATTAAATGAACAAACAATTAGTATCATACTTCGAGTATTTATTATTAGTCGAAATGGTTATGAAGATGATATGTCCGATTGGCTTCATCCTCCAATTCAATTTATTGATCTTACTGGAGAACAACAAGCTAGTTTATTAGCTTTCATTTGTGATGAATTAATTTGTTCAAGTCGTCTTATATCAACTGAAATAGATAGAACAATTGAACAACAATCTTTGTTGAAACGTGAAAAATGGATTATTGAATCAAAAATACGAAGGTAACATATTGTATGATATTATACTGATTTATTTGATTCCAGATTTTCAATGGTAGTCTAACATTGATCGATTCATGATCTCAATTAAAAACTCAATAATCTCTACAACCACATACTGATAATTACCACGTGCTCACTAGTAACTAGCTTCGAGAGGTAATTTTCGGAGTTCTAGTAAGAGTCTGTGACCAGTGCAGCTAATCCATGTCAGGTAGGGACAGGTATCGACCTCACACAATGTAGAATGTTTGCGCAATTCCGTGAATTGTTTGAAGTTAAACATTAACATCATTGGATACCGACCGGTTCAGTGATCCAAAAGTTATGTGTTCGCGTGCTAGACCGAAGGTTCTGCGTTCGAATCTCGCGTACGAGATACTGGGACAAAACAGCCGTCCAATGCTTCCAGGCTTTAACTAGTGGTCTGATAGTGATCGATTCATGATCTCAATTAAAAATCCAAAGTTTATCTGAAGCATATTCACAATTGATTAGCTAATGACATTCAATTACTTCTTATATAAATATTTAAATAATAGATAATTAATAATCGAAGATACTGAAATAGACGAGAACATACATTTGATGGAAGAGAGATGTTACATTGAAAACTGGAAACCATAGAGTAGGGATAGACAAATGAATTACTAAGTACAGATAATATAAAATACAAAATCTACCAATACCTTGAACAAACAGTTTTTTGTTGAAAATAAAATATAGTTGTATGTTATATTTAGTTCTTAAGTGAATGTTTTAATATTGCTTCAGGATTTTTGCATAGAAATATTTTCAGAAGGGGTTTGTGGAGATTTTAGAAATTTCACAGATTGAAATCATGAGTCAATTGAAGCTAGACCACCATGGAAAACCTGGAACCACTGGACGGCCGTTTCGTCCGAGTATTGGGACTCATCAGTAGTGCGCATCCACGATCCCACACCCCGCGAGATTTGAACCCAGGACCTCTCAGTCTCGCAACAGGCGCTTAACCAACTAGACCACTGAACCAACCGGCATCCAATGGTGTTAAATGTTTAACTTCAACCAATCCAAGAAGTTGCGTCACCGTACACCATTGTCTTCATTGAGTTGATATCTCACAACAGACCTGGTTGAACTCCACTGGTAACAGCTTCTCACTAGAACTCCAGGAGTATCTCATGAAGTCAGTCACTAGTGAGCAGATGATTATTATCAGAAGGGGTTTGTGGAGACTCCAGAAATTTCACAGATTGAAATCATGAGTCAATTGAAATACTGGTATATTTTATCCCTGATCTCAAATGAATACATATCAGTTGCATTTTAAGAGTTCTTGATACACTCATCTGCTCTGTATACATTAAAATGTGCACCTTCCTCTTAGTAACCTATCTGAGATTGAAGAGTAGCTACTTTTCGAATCTCGTAAAGTATGAGAACTTAAATCTTGTTAAAAGTATCGAATCCTTCAAGCTTTTGAGTAGTACGTGTTTTGAATTGCCAAAAACGTATATAGAACCTTAATAAGGAAGAGTTTCTTGTGATCTGTCATTATAAGTTTAACGGACAAAACCAGATCTCGCTTTACAAATTTCTACTTGATTAAGAGATAAATGGATTCAATAATTTATCTGTATGCTCTAGGACAATCACCATGTGACTCATTCTGTCATTTAAGTAAATTGACTTTTTATTTCTTACTTGAAAAGATTTTGCGACAATTAGCTTTATTTTATAGGTTGTTTTTGTCACGGATTAATCTCATTCGATGTACTAGTGACAATCAGATTGCATTAACAGCTATCTAATTATTGATGATAATCGGTGGCCGTCGTGCTATACCATGAATTAATTGGAGTTTAATTTTTATCATTAGACGCCGATTCAATAGTTGTAATGACTAAGTGCTCTCAGCGAAACCTATCGGTTATGGGTTGACTAGTTGATGAGATCATGAATACGCTCTACAGCAGTCTTATGCTGTAACAAAACAGTTGTTCAATACTCTTTGCATTTTAATGGACATCGACTGGAATTAATTTAGGACAAATACAACCTATGTGGTTCCTCTATAATTTGTTACATTTTTTATTATTTATATTAATGATAACTTTGTTATAGTTATTAATGGAGGTAACATTTTATCTTTTAGATTGCGTTTATTGATTGCTCAAAAACTGACAATCACAGGGAATTTAATCAATAATACCATAACAGAATATGATAGAAAAGCAATCGACATGGAACCAACTGGATATCAAAAAAATATGCCATTAACTACATTGCCAAAACTCACATCAATGTCCATAGTTAGTAATTCTTGTGCAATATCTTCTACCTCATTATCAGATGATGAAGATAGTACTTGTAAAATAAGTGAACTTGAGGCTAAGATTGAATCACTAACTCGAAAAACAGAACAAAAACAAAGAGAAATTGATGAATGTTCATCCAGATTGTCTGGACTATTTCTTGGACAAGACAGATATTATTGTAACTATTATGTTTTGAAACATATGGGTGGTATTTACATTGAATGTGAATCTCCTGGCAATATGTCAACAAAAAGTGATTGTTGTGTTGAGTCTCTAACAACAGAAGGTGGTGAAAATCCCATATTACCTATTGACAGCACTTTATCTGAACTTCCTGATTCTCACCTTGATCACATTGTGAATCAGATAAAAGTACGCCGAGAACTTGCACAACAACGCCAACTTAAATTAACTGTTTCCACAGTTAATTCCTATCCATGCCATGATATTCCTCTTGAAAATAAACTTCATTCAAATTTTGAAAAACTACAGCTAGATGGTAATTCACATGCCACTATTTTAAATCAAACAGAACAATGTGATATAAACCCTGAAACAATCTTAAATGATATACAACTGAAGAATTCTGATCATTTAAACGGCAAAGATGTAATAGAAACTGTGAATGAAAATGTTTGCCCACGATCTCCGAATTGTGTTCACATATCACATCCTGATAACGAGAAAATAGTAGAAAGTTCTGATGATCCAAGTTGTATAAAAGATTCTTCGGGTATTTATTCCAGTTATGATGTTAGAAATACTTCTGAAGACATAAATTGTGAATCCTTAGCTCAAATACCCGATAAAGATCCAAGCGAATTATCAACTGAGAAATATCCCGTCATTATTCTTCCAAAATATCCTACGGAGTCTCACTCAACACAAGATGATAATATAAGTTCTCAGTCATTAGGAAGTTGTATAGATGATACAAATGGACCAGTAGGCTTCGTCTATAATCATATTTCACACAAAGACAACGCTGAAGAATCAGCAAATCAGTCGAAGAATGATTTTGAAATAAAAAGTAATGTTACCAGTGAAGGTATTTGTGATTCATCTATGAATCCCATTCCTTTAAATAAAGTTGATGGTGTCGAATGCAAAGAGGAACTTAAAGTTAAAATGTCAACTCCCTTAATCAATCATGATAATATAACTCAAGATACTATGATCAATAGAGATAATGTTAAACTAGAGGATAATAATAGACAAACTAATGAACAAGATTGTCATGATAAACTTGTCAATGAAATTTCTCCATATAAATTAGAATCTTTCACAGATAAGACATACACTTTAGGACAACCATTAGATTTATCAAATAAACCTTTACATTCAGAACCATTTTCAAATGAGAATTTAAATCATGAAACACTTCCTACTGAATTTAAATCAGATTTGGATGATTTAACATTAACCAAAAGTGTAATGTTATTTATGAATCATGCTGGAATCAATTTACCAACTGTTGATAATCAACTTTATTCTGATTCTTGGATTTCTATCATGAATTATTGTAAATTTTTACTTAGTTCTGCTATATCAGATGAAATGGTTTATTCTAAAAGTTCTAATTCTGATAATGTATCACCTTTGAATTTACCATTGAAAGAATCAATCATCAAATTAAGAGAGATGATGTTAAATCAATTTAAAACAGAACCATTAAATGAAACACAAATGATCAATGAACAAAATAATAATCCATATCAATTGGATATTGATATAACAGAATGTGTTAATAATGAATTAGAAAATAGACGTATTCAAACAATTAAAGAAAATTTATCATATTTAAAATTAAAAAATGATAATATACAATCAAATTGGTATCAACTTGTAGATATAAATAAACTTAAAGATTTATTAGATGCTCTTAATTGTCGTGGAGTTCGAGAAAAACAATTAGCGAAATGTATTCGACGTTCAAAAGATTTTATAGAATTGTCTATGCATGTAGCTTTGGAAAGAAGTGAGTTCAACTTAATAACGTAGTTTTTTCTATATATATATTAGATGGTGGTTGGAGGTAGTCGACAGGAAACCCTGAAGCTGAGTTTCGTGCTAGTTGGCACTCGTCAGCAAGGTGTACCTGTAATCTTGAGGGAACTGGTGCTCGCTGACGGATTCGATCCCGTGTCACTCAGCTTCATGGTCAGAGACGTTACCACTGAGCTATCCGGGCCGCAACCGACCTCCTGTAGGACTGAGATGTAATCACAATTGATTGATCACTGGGTGGTGATCAATGTCATGTGTGTCAAGTCCTTTTTAGTGCAGATCGAATATTATCGACCATGTTGCAATGTGGCCACCAGCCTACGTGACTCGACACCTAGGACTAGACATGCAATCAATCGTGATATATATATTCATTTCTAATGAAATTTGATATTGGGGCAAAATATAGGAGTATGCGTGTAGTGACTGGCCCTATATTAAGCCCATATAGGTTATTCTAGTTTCTAGACAAGCTAATTTATTCATTTATCCATTCACCTTGTTAATTATTCTCTTTGCGTCGCCTTGCTTTTCCTTGCCTCAATTCGATTTGACTGTAAATATTGATTTGCGCTTGGTTAGATCGAGTTGGTTCACATGCCTTTTCTTCGATCTCTTCTTTTGGCTTCGTTTGTTCTATCATTTGTCTGGATCAATAACTGTACGAAATACACGTATTCGAAATTCATTATCGTATTTGACTAATTTAAAATAGTTGTAGTTAGACATCAACACCGTTGGATGCCAGCTCAGTGGTCTAGTGGTTAAGCGCTCGCGCGCGAAACCAGTTGGTCCTGGGTTCGAATAGCGTGGGGGGCGGGGTTGTGGATGCGCACTGCTGAGGAGTCCCACAATAGGACGAAACGGCCGTCCAGTGCTCCCAGGTTTTCCATGGTGGTCTAGCTTCAACCGACTCATGAACTTAACAATTGAAATTATTTAATTCTGTTATTCACTAAGGCAATTTAAGTCGATTATTATATTCGAGACTTGACGATATATTTCGATAACAATCATTCATACAATCCAAATGGTGTCAGATAATGGGCTACTAAATGCGTTCGATAATTTTTCGCCATAAAACATTAGAAGATTCATACTTAAACTAGCTAGTTTGCAGAACATAAAAATGACTGTAAATTATGTGTATTTTCATCAAACTGTGGTTTTATGTATCATTTTGTAAGAATGTACTAAAGATTTTGAGTTACATATATTCTTGTTAAGAATTAGGCTTTTATCCACCATCTATGCATATTTCTATCCATCTTCTATTTAAATATATCCTATTCTGTAATGTAATTAATACATGATTTTTATATGTATATTATCGTCATAAACATGTTTACCGTTTTCAGGGAGTTTGCTTACTTGACTGTTTTATGAATTATGTCTGTACACAATATCTTAATAGTAGTCTACATGTCTATTATTTCTTTTTCTGGTTAGCGCTATTTTAGCGAGTTAGTTTTCTACGGGATGAGGTCGCTAACCCCATGCCCATCCATCATCCTTTATCCTGGCTTGGGACCGGTAGTAGCCCAAGAGAGGTTCCATGCGGAGTTTATTAATAGTTGAAATATTTCAGTCATGAGTTTTGTGAATAAAGTTCACTCTAAAAATGGACTCTGTAACAAATTATGAATCGCTCATTTATAGTTTTACTGATTCATTGAAGGTTTAATTCCATAAATGATTCTTCAATTATAAATATTTAAGAAAATGATTTTAAATACTCTGTTAAACTGTTCAGCAACTATCCATATTAACTGAATTATTTCATTTAGATTCCGACTATGATGTTGTTAAATCTTTACCTACTACGAAATTGAACTCACGGCTTATGCAAATTCGTACTCATCGTCGTAGAGGAAGACGTAGTGGTAGAGGCCATGGAACAACAAAAATGAGTTCTGGATTTTATTACACTGGAGGTGGTAGTTGGAACTGTTTATCTGGAAAAACTTCAAATGGTTTTGTATCATCTTCATCTTGGGAAGGAAATAATTCTAGTGAAAGTAAAGAGATCGAACGTCTGCATTCATCAACTTCTAATATTTCTCGTTCTGATATTCTGTGTTCTAGTGATGATGGTTCTAGTGATACTAATAGTGGACTAACAGTCACATCTTTAGCCGGTTCCAAACGCACTCTTGTAGACATGTGTCGTGGTTATCATAACTTTTCACTTACGTCTACAGTAAATCCAATTGAAATTATCAGCTCCAAATACAAAATTTTTGATAATAAAGGGTTGAAGTGGGAGGATAATTCAACAGAATATGAAAATTTTGTGAGTGAATGTCAACTGCTTTATGATGTGGAAGCTCTCGAGGACAAAATAATATATGCCAGTTTGCAAACTAAAGAATGGAAGGTATAAACAAAGTTTTTAGTTTTAATCTTTCCTTGTAATAATGTACTATAACTCATTTATTAAGTTCAGTTTCAAACAATCTGCTCCGTACTATACTGAAGGTGGGTGGAGGCTGCTAATGATTCCCGGCTACTTAAACATTAATAAATGAAGCTAGATCTGGACCTGCAACCTATAGATTGAAAGCTATAATTACTCACCCAGTACTCTAATTCCCATAATGAAAAATGTATAATTGAAATCAAATTTTTTAAAATTAATTGATTTAGCTAGGTCATGGATTTCCCTAAATCGTAACCTCATTTAAGTATCCAACTACGTACATATGATACTTCGACACATCAGAAAATGAATAATGCAGTATAGTTATATAAGCAAATATTTCTTTTTAGTTTAGGATAATTAAAATCATACTGACGGTTGCCAACATAACATTATTACTTTAACACTGAGTTATTGAATATGATGATCTAGACTATTCGGGGAATTTTTAACACATTTCAACAAGTTTGCTGCTAAAGTTGAATTGTAAGATGAATAGAATGTTAATAAACTTAGATTCCCTTTATTTGTATTGTTAGTGATCGGCGAGTCGGGGTCATGGATACACAATGCTGAGGAGTCCCACAATAGGACGAAACGGCCGTCCAGTGCTTCTAGATTTTCCATGGTGGTCTAGCTTCAATTGACTCATAGTCTCAACCAGTAAAATTACTATAATATCCACAAAATCCCTTCTGATAAGAATAGAACCGTTATGTAAAATTTAGATTTAATACACTGGGGAAATATCGAAAAATCCAAGTATTTATAGCTTACATTACAGGTTGACGGTAACTAAATAATCATTGAAAATCAGGAAACACCAGACAGTTGTTTTGTCTTAAGATAAAACTATTCATTGATAAGCAACTGAAATCCCTCTAGGAATTATATCAACGACCATCAGGTGCTGCGGCATGTGCTTAACCTATAGAACATTGAGGTCACTTCGTGGTATGACTTGTGAAGTTCGAAAATCCCTACAAACATCCTACGCTGATGATAATCATATGCACTCTTGTGATCGATTCCATGAGATAATTTTCAGGATTCTGATGAAAAGTTGTGACTAGTAGAATTTAATCACACCCGGTTTTATAAGGTTACTCTCCAGTGGCTAGTGAATAGTGGTTGAGAGATATTGAGGAATGATTATAGTTAGAAATTAAAACATCTGAATGCCAACTTACCGGTCTGAAGTTTAAATTTTTACTGTCCAGGATTTATTAGTTTTTAAATGGTCGTCTGTTCAACATCAACCCGTGGTGCAAAATATGGGCTCCGACAGTCTGTAAAATCCTCATAAATACGAAATATTCGAGTCGTAAACTATGCTCTAAGTTATATGATAATGTTCGAATTATATTGTGAATTAATTAGTGTCATATAATGATAATCACTAGATTAAGTGGTCTATAAGTAAAGTGTATATCACCACAAAAGCCCTAGTTCCTAGACCTACATCCTTACTGAAGTCTGCTATTTCCTCAAAATCCTCTCCAATATATATCAGTTTTTTATACGGACTGTATTTGAACTGAACAAATCTTTCCATATATATATGACATGAATAAAAAGCAAACACAATATCGAGGCATATGCACAGTATGCACGTATGCCAATAACAGACTGATCAATTGCAGTCTTAAACCTCAATGGGAAGATACAAGCTAAACAATACCAAGTGAATTTAAACACAGAAAAAGATTACTGTCTTTTCACATGTTCATTTTAAGTACAGTTAACAAATTAAAATTACAGAATCATCTGTTTTTCCATTAAATTTTAAAATTTATTTTCATCTTTCTCAGTTTTCATGATCACTTAGTGATAAAAATAATAGTAATAACGACTTTACTCAGTGTTATATATTCAGTACAATGTGGAACCTTAAGAAAAGAGATTTGGATAAGTTCTTCTTATTCTTGATTGAGACCATCAATCGATTGATGTTAGATCACCATTGAAAACTTGGAAGTATAGAATAGCCGTTTTGTTCTAGTATGGAACTCCTCAACAGCGCGCATCCGCGATCCCATCTGAAGAGTTTCGAACCCATGGCCTATCGGTTTCGCACACGAACGCTTAACCTAATATTAATCAACATATGCTTACTAGTGACGGTCTCCAAGAGGTATTTCCTGGGGTTCTAGTAAGAATCCGTGACCAGTTGAATTCAACCGGGTCTGTTGTGAGATAGCAACTTACTGAAGACAATGGTGGATGTGTCGATCAGTTTCGTGGATTAGTTGAAGTTAGATATTAACACCGTCGAATGCCGATCGACTCAGTGGTCTATTGGTTAAACGTTCATGTGCGAAACCGATGGGTCCTGGTTTCGAACCTCGCGAGGTGGGATCGTGGATACACAATGCTGAGGAGTCCCACAATGGGAGGAAATGGCCGTCCAGTGCTTCCAAGTTTTCTATGGTGGTCTAGCTTCAATCGACTCATGATCTCAACTACTGAAATTACTATAAATAATAGTAGCTGAATTATTCACATTTTTGCTATAGTTTATTTAATTGACATTTTCACACCCTATTACAATCTGAATTTATTCGTCAAATAATTTATTGATCTATAATGGTAACTTATAATAACTTATTTAATTTGGTAACTGAAATGACCATAAAAATATGTACATTATTCAACATTATCTAATCGATAAAACAATGAGTTCAACAAGGTAAATATACTTATTTACATATCTGTTACTACTTGACAAATAACATATAAATTAGTTTGTGTTGTAAAACTGAAAATTCAACTATTTGCGTAACCTCAATACACTGAAATGATATATATATATATACAACGTAGGATCAGGCACATATATGCATCGGTCCAAGTTGCCATACCACATTAACACAGCAAGATGGACACCGGATTCATAAAATTAGTTAATTTAGAGGTGGTAATATATAAAAGAAAGATTGCAATAAGGATATAGTACAGGAAGAAATAATTAGTTCGTAGAAAGAAAGATATGAAGCGATTTTAATCTCTTAGTTTAAGGGAAGACAGAGAGTGTATACACCGACGCCATTGTGATCAATTCTGAGACATGTCAACAAGAGTCTCCAACCATTGGTTACGAAAGTCACGCGGACCCCAACCAAGTAGTCTGCATCTACCAACATGGCTCAAACTAGAAGTTAGTGACTTCAAGCACTGATGCCACGTTTTAGTTTGGCCGCCCCTAACTTTCTTCCAACCACCTCCAACACCGGTTAGCATTGCACGTCGTGGTAATCGGTGTTCAGGCATGCGTAACACGTGGCCCAACCATCTCAGTCGATGAAGATTCATAACCTCATCAACTGATTTACCATCATTCCCTAATTCCCTGCGTCTAACCTTCCTATTACTTACCCGGTGATTCCAGCAGACGCCAGCAATATTTCTGAGGCGTCTGTGGTCAAATACTAGTAATATATATATTTGAAATGATTTATGAAGTACATTTAGCATTAAGTTCGTACGCAGAAATTTACGAATTCTCATCGCTTACAGGCTAGCGATCTTGGAAAAGTGATTTCAAGGGTATTTACTACAGAATATAATATAAAGCTGTGAAGTATAATCTATCTATCTATCTATATATATATGTTTGTTACGTAATGTTCATCTATAGATATAGTTAAACTAACTATTGATATTTGAATCATAGACATATGATAATTTAATGATTCAATCTCTGTTTAACATTGTGCTTTACATTTTCATTTTCAACTGTAAAACATTGATTGCTAATAAGAATAATGTTTTGTTTTTTAGATTCCAAATAAAACATCTGAAGATGAAATAATTTCACTCATTCCTCGTACTGAAGTCAAGAAATCACGGTTTGAACACTGGCCACTGGAATTGGCACGGGATCGTTTATTAGACATTGAACGTCATATAGAACGCCGTTATCTACTTCCACCATTTAATTCTGAAGTTCATTTAAATATTATTCCTGAAGTTGAAACTACTGATGTACCATTTCTTCCAGAAGTACGTAGTAATACAGAGTCTACAGATACAGGGATAGAAACTGAAGGAGAGTGCAACGACATAAAGTATGACAGATGTGAATTTAACACTGAAATAGTTGAAGATATTAACATCTCTAGACAAAATCATGTACCACAAATCCGTCATGTAACTAATAAACAATCTAGTTCAAACGATCCAGTTGATGCTAGTAATGCGTGTGATTTTCAGCTTGTTTCTAACCATTCAGATGGATTAAATGGTCCTATACATGACCAAACAAATAACAATATTCCTCAGGATCTTATGGATTGGCGTACCAACCTAAATCAAGCATCTGATATTAACACAATACGTAGTTGCATGAATCAGTTAGTTCTAGCAATTGCATGGGATAAATCAATAATGAAAGTAGTAAGTTAAATGTTTGTAGAAGTATATGCAATGCAAAAATATCATTTATATATTAAACATTAAATTATAATTCGTTCATAATGAATTTCTCAATTTACTAATGTTGACAATTTTGTACTTTACATGGAGTACTAAATGTAGCTAGATAACCATTGAAAAACTAGATAGTACTGAACAGTTGTTCCTCACTAGTATGGGATCCTTCAATGGTATGCATCGACTATCTTACTAGAGATTGAACCCAAGAACTTCAATCCTCGTTGTGAACACTTAATTTCTAGATCTTTGAATTAGGATCGATTAGTTTATATTTCAAAATTTAATCGATTTGTGATTATCTTCCAGTCCATGTAGTGAATAGATAATTCTTCATGATACAATATGTACTGCATGCTGCAATACCATGCTGCTACGTGGTTGGAATAAGTTTACATTGGATAATCTGTTATGTTGTTGAATTAATCAAGATAATCCATTCGATCATTTTTCTTTTATTTATTCGAACCATATCGACTTTTTTAACATTCCTTCATCATCTAATACATGTAAACTATGATCAAAGAATGAGATCTTCTGTTATGAAGTTTCATATTTTGAGTGAAATTTTCATCTCTATTAGATAGATCACACTAATATAGTCGAGATCCATTTCGCTTATCACTGAACAGATTTCATGGTGTATCAAGGAGAAATTTCACTGACGCTATAATAATAAAGACAATTTACTTTATAGTAAGTAATGAAAATAAAGTAAACAAATCAATTTCGCAAGATTGTAGGGCACAATTTTTGACCTCACTAAATTTTGTTAATATTTCCAAAAAGAGTTAAGGAATGGTTATTTTTTTTTCTCCTATCAGCTCTGTCAGATATGCAGACGTGATAACAATGAAGCTTGTCTATTATTATGTGATGGATGTGATCGTGGTTATCATACTTATTGTTTTCGTCCACAATTATCTAATATACCATCTGGAGATTGGTTTTGTTATGATTGTGTGTCAAAAGCAACTTCAAAACACTTATGTTATATATGTGGTGGATCTGAAATTGATGATATTCAACAACAAACTGATAGTAATTCATCAATTTCAGAAATTAAACGATTAGCAGTTTGTTATCATTGTTCACGAGCTGTCCATAATAGTTGTGCTCGACCAGCATTTGTACGCATACCAAAACAATGGTATTGTTCTAATTGTATATTTTTAAAATATATAAAAACGAGAGATGAAAATTCCAATTTATCTCTACAGAAATCCCGAAGAAAACGCAAAGTATATGAAGATACTGATGTAAATAATAATCAGATGGTATGTATAACTATTTAGTAACCATGAATCGATTTTTTCTTATTCTATATGCATAATGTCAAATAAATAAATTAGAGAATTGATTATAGGACACTGAATCCTGTAGAAAACTTAATCGCTAAAAAGCACTAACCAGAAAAAATTATTCATACCATTCAAACTCTGACCTGGAAGTCAGAAGGTCTTCATTCAGAAAATTTATGACGCCTCATGGTGAAGGCCGAGTTCCATTGGAGGTCACGAGGCTGATGCCCCTTCTGACAACCAGAGCAACCGTTAATTTAGGTACATGGAATGCTCGTACAATATGGGAGACCGGAAGAGTCTTCCAAATTGCTGCAGGAATGAAAAGATACAACCTGGAGGTGCTTGGAATCAGTTAAATACATTGGACACAGGCTGGACAATAGCGACTAGCTTCAAGGGAGCTTCTGTTATACTCCGGCCACAAAGAAGATTAACTCAGATGTTCTAGGACACTACTTAAGTTTAGAGTGCATATGGTAACCACTTTTTTACTTAAAAGCTTTACATAATTACAGACAATAATTCAGGTTGGTCGCATATACTAATACCAAAATGATTTTATGAAGATACAGATGTTTATTGATTGGTTATAAACTTAGGATTTATCTAAGCAGTTCTTCAGTATCAACAATGTTGCTTTATTATTTATAGTTCTTCACCAGTGTAATCAAAAGTAATGAGTAGAAACTATTCGATATTGTTGTCAACTATTAGTTTTTAATTTCATCTAAAATCTCTAATTACTTATTTCCAGTTAGTAAACTAATATAACATTCAAATATTTAGATTTTAAATAAGTTATGAAGGTTAAAACCTACAGAATATATTCCTAAGGAGATTTTGAATAGGTTGATTGTTCGCTAGCAAGACTGTTAGGTCGTAAGTTCGAATCTTGCAAGGCGGGATCGTAGATCTGCATTTCTGAGGAGTCCCATAATAGAATGAAATGGCTATCCAATACTTCCAAGTTTCCCATGGCGGTCTAGCTTCAATTAACTCATGATCTCAACTATTAAATTTATTTATCTGTACAATGTACAATGCATGCGTATTCTATACATTATTATTATTATTATTATTATTATTATTATTATTTGAATGCTATCGTAAAGTATATATCGAAACAGTTTGGCACAAAACTAAAACAAACTTGACCTAAGCAACCTTAATTACTCTAGTTACTATACACATGTACATTTTAAACAATCCTTATTCTTAAACAACGTATCATTTGAAACTACTTTCTTTTCTTTTCTTTCTTTCTTTCTTTCTGTTTTTCCCATTTCATAAATTCATTATCCAATATAATCCCATTTAAGTTTCAAAGAAAAATATAAACATACTAAGTAAAGTTTTAACATGAACAAAAAATCAATTCATATTAGGTAGGTACAGTAATTTTGGTAAAAAAAAAAGGAAAAAATAAGCCTATAATTAATCTACTACAACGACAACAACAACAGCAACACCAAAAAAACAATGGTCCTACTTAGTTACCAATTAGAAATTTGCCAAGTTTTTATTAAAAATAATCTTCATAAACAATAATCAAATTTATATTAGAAAAAAATAATAAGATAGACTGACAGACGAATAAACAGACAGACAATTATTCTAAATCTTTTTCTATATCCTATTTTATCTACTATCTTATTCAATAGTAATAATAATAATAAAGTGTCAATATTATCTATCTTTCAATATCAATGATCATTCACTTTATCCTTTATAAACAAAAGAAGTAGTAGTAGTAGTAGTAGTAGTAGTAGTAGAAGAAGAAGAAGAAGAAGAAGAAGAAGAATAGGAAATGAATTCCATTACAATCAATTACTAGAAGGAGAGAAAACAGGAATCATAAATAAAAATGACAATAACATGTAATCTCTAATCAAGAATTACATATGATGAATAGTTTAATGCTTCATGTATAACATACATTATAGATTTAAGATTTGACAGAATAATTATAAAGTACATTGATATTTGATATTTCAGTTGTTATGATTAATGCTAAGAACATTAGAGATCATTGATGTTAGATCAATATTGAAAACCTAGAAGTATTGAATAGCTGTTTTGTTCTAGTATGGAACTCCTCAGCAGTGCACAATAATGATTCCGTACGCGGGATTCGAATGCAGAATCTTCGGTCTCGTGCGCGAACGTTTAACCTTTGGATCACTGAACCGGTCGGTATCTAATAATGTTAATGTTTAACGTCAACCAATCCACGGAACTGCGCAACCATCTCTCATTGTCTGACATAGATACGTGTCTCTGCCTGATATGGATTAACTTCACTAGTCACAGCGTCTCACTAGAACTTCGAGAATTACTTCTCAAAGCTAATGACTAGTGAGTACATGGTAACTATCAGTATGGGGTTGTGGAGATTAGATCATATGACCTATTTTGTAAAATATGAAAGAAACATGTTATCATTACTTAACTGTTCTTTTTCAAAATCTGTTAACCAATATGAATAATTCACCATGTAAGTATATATGACATAATCCATAGAACATATTTTTAGTAATTTCCAATTTTCTGTGTTTATTTTATTGTTTTATTATTATGTATAGAAATAGGTGAAATGTAAGCCTATATGTTTCATTTAAAGGTAGTAAACGCAAAAGTTCTGCACCTAGATTTCATTTTATTATTTAACACTTCTTACCAAGGTATATATATGTCTAAAATCCAATATTACATAATACATGTCTGAATCTCATAGATAGTAATAATCTTTTTGAGATTACAGACGGACATTTGGCAAGAAACCTTGGTCCAGTATTTCCCAAATGATTGTCTTTCACCGCTTGATACAAAACATAATGAATAACAATTTACACTTATTCAAATTGAAATCATGAGTCAATCGAAGCTAGACCACCATGGAAAACCTGGAAGCACTGGACAGCCAGTTCGTCCTAGTATTGGGACTCATCATCCTGCACCCTGCGAGATTCGAACCCAGGACCTCTCAGTCTCGCACCAGGCGTTTAACCAACTAGACCACTGAACCACCCGGCATCCGATGGCGTTAATGGCTAACTTCAACCAATCCAAGAAGTTGCGTCACCGTACACCATTGTCTTCATTGAGTTGATATCTCACAACAGACCTGGTTGAACTCCACTGGTAACAGCTTCTCACTAGAACTCCAGGAGTATCTCATGAAGTCAGTCACTAGTGGGCAGGTGATTATTATCAGAATGGGTTTTGTGGAGATTTTAGAAATTTCACAGATTGAAATCATTGAAGCTAGACCACCACCCCTTCTGATACTTATTCAAATTGACAATTACAGTGTAATTTGGTTCACAGAATTGAATTCGAACTAAGGACGAGAGAAGATAACACTTGTTACCTTTATGTAATGAATTACTACAACATTCTAAATGTTAACTTTACACAGAATCAACTGTTGAATATAAGTAGAAACTGAATGATAAAAGATACAAAATCACTAAATCACAAAATTTTCTCGTTCTGTATGTGTATACAGTTCAACTTATTAAAAGTAACCAGTTAGCCATCCCTTTTTTTGGTAACTCTCTAGTAGGAAACTACCAAATATCGCCTGTTTTAATTTTAACAGTTCTTAGTAGTTATCGACATTATGAAATGACCATACTATGTAAAAGCATTTTAAAATGTGTTGAGGTGATTTCTTTTCAGAAAGTTTGTTAACTATTGATTTGAATTCATTTTAGCTAAAAAGGAGTAAAATGTGTTCCGCCTTGAAATTAGAACATCCAAGTATGAACTCCTATGATGCATTAAGTATAGTTGACAGTAAATTTACAAATCCAAATAGAAAATATCAAGGTTGGTGGAGGAAAGTCCATAAATATCGGAAACGTACAGAGAATATTGATAGCGGAACTATTCCAATTACCAAATCCAAGATAAGAAAATATAAGCCTAGATCTCATACTGATTTAGAGAATAAGAGACGAAAACCTAGTGCCTCCGAAGAATTGAATGAATTTCCATTGCGTAAAAAGCCTGGCAGAAAACCAACTTACCATTTAAATACACTGCCTACAAAACCCAAACGTCATTATCACCGTCGATCTATATTGCTGGTATCTAAAAATATATCTGGATCCCGAGGTCGTCCTCGTCGTCGTTGTCGCACATTACATCAGGAAATAACAAATGGCAATGATGATAAATCTTCTACCATTGATTCAACAGAATCTATAGAGCCTTTGTGTCAAACTTATCAGCCAATGAAATCCAATGAGCTTGAATGGTGTCGGTAAGTTTTGTAAAGTAAAAAAATTAGCTTTCTGATATTGTTGGCATCTTTTAAAATATTTAGTATTCTAAGCTTCTTTTCCGTTGGTTATGAAATGCCTAATTTTTAATCAATAAATCTTGCCTAGAATACAGTAACTGAAAATGATGAGACTGTCAGGATACAGTAGTAGTCATCCAACTATAGTCTACTAGGCAAAATTAAATACTGAGCATATGGACAACTTTTCAAATCATGTAGAAAGCATAATGATATTAATTTACTTCATACAAACGCTAGTGTATTATATACTTTTATAGGTTCAAAAAATGCACTTTTCACAGTCCTTCATTTCGAAGTTGACTTAAGTGGTCATCAAATACTATAGATGATCACCATCTAATCATCAACTTAGTTAACTTTATAAGTCATAGCTTTATACCAACATTTGATGTAAAGCATATTGAAATAGATCATTGGTAATTATTAGTGATTATTGTACTTCTGAATTCTTCTCACGCAATGTTTTCTGGTGTAAAAATAGTTCTTCAGGAAACTACCATTTTCTGAATTAAAAGTATCAGTATATTTTACTTATAAATAGATAATAAACCATCTGTGTAAGTTTTAATTGTTCTGTCTGTCGTTTTTCTTTATGTACCAGACGAGCTACAGAAGATTTACTAAATCATGAAGCTTCTTGGGCATTTCGTAAACCAGTTAATATAAAACAAGTACCTATCTATCGAAAAATAATTAAGCATCCAATGGATTTATCTACAATATGGAGAAAAGTACAAGATCCTGCGTAAGTATATATATGTATATAGTTTTGCTTGATATATCATTTGAAAAGGGTTAAATCCTAAGTCATTGTACTCTTACAATATATTTGAATCTATCTATTAACAATAAATTCTGTAATCAACAATAAGGGTACCATTAAATGTCACTTCATTTACACTTCAATGATCCTACATAAAAGTGATTCGAAAATTCTCATTGTTGATTCAAAGTAGATTATTTTTTGTTTTTTTCTAAATGTTTTGTTACTATTTGGTAATATTTAATTGTGAATGATGACAGAACCTGAAGTTAAACAGACCAACTAAGTCTATGTACATTAATGTTTGTTTTCTCATTGAGCGAGTTTTTAAATGAACGATTATTTAATCTATAAGATTATTGAGTTAAACTAGACAGAACATTGACTTACTTACTTACGCCTGTTACTCCTCGTGAAGGAGCATAGACCAGCATTCTCCATCCAACCCTGTCCTGGGTAATCTTTTCCAGCTCCTTTCAGTTGTTATTCATCCATATTCAACGTGTATTGATTGTTTTTGATTGAGATCATGAATCGATTCATGATCTCAATAAAAAAACTAACAATCCCCACAACCCCATACTGTATTGATTGTTATTGGGAAATTAATTTCTTTTAATATCGATTCATAAGATCAAACACTTTGCTTGACATAAAATAGATTCGTTTCTGTAAAAATACTTTTAGTTACATTTTACTATTACTTATTAATAGCACTTAAGTTAATATGTAAGCAGTTACTGGATTTTGATTCAATTTATAACAATTTCGATTGTCCCGTTGTTGATATTTTGATCAGTCTCGGTTGGGATTTGTGAATTACATCAATATAGCCATCATTACGCAAATTTATGTAGAATAGATTGAATATGGTTAACAGCCAAATCTAGAACGCACATTTTATCTTATTTCAACCTACTTGCATCCCAGAGTTGATTTTCACCCCAGTAGTAGAATTGAGTTCATCATTTTGAAGGGCAATTACACAATAATTTTATCAAGTCGAAATAAGTTCTGTTTTGAAAATCTGAACAACTTGCAATACTGAATTTTGAAATTAAATTCATCTACTTACTTTGAACATCCAGTATTTCAAGACAAAACCTTCAACCAATAACCTATTGATGAAAAGATTTTTGTTAGATTCTTCAGTATAAAAGTTTGCTCCTTTCTTTAGATTACTATTCATCCACTGAAAGTTTACCTTTATTTAATGACTTCAGGTCTTTTTTTATGTCGTAATTTATTCCATTGAAAATTTTACTCATATAACGGGAATATTATTTTTTGCATCTTTGATTGGTGAACTTCTAAGATTCTCATAAAATTCTGCAGTTATCAATGCCAACTAATCATCAGAATGAACAGGTCAAAAATATCTTTCTTTATTTATTTAAACATATAAACACCGGTACAAAGGAGCACTAAATAGATATGCACCATATAAATCATTCGATTTGTGTGAGGGCTGGGATACTGCCCGGTGCTCAAACCAAAGTAGGTGGTCTTCTTAGGGGGCCACACCAAGGGCCTTCAACCTAAAGGTCTAATCCACAAGGCAGTGGAGCAACGTAGGGAGATGCAGTCCCATGGTAACCGGTGACTAACAATTAGTCCATACACTATTTATTTCCTTATTATCATAGAGCCTATGTGAACCATTGGTTTGAAATCAGGGTTTTCCAATTCTCCTAGGTAGATCCTCCATATCCACCAACCAACGGACATTTACCTTTCGTCCTCTCAATTTCGTGAACAACACTCCCACTGCGAGAAGACAGTGAATAGGACTTTCCTGGCGGTGGTTGTATGCACGTGATCATGTGAAAGCATTTTGGGAAGGAGAGATGACTCTCCCCACTCTCGGCCATACCAGGGCATTTGAAGGCCCACTAAAAATTTATATGAACCTAGGATTCTTAATAAAACAAGCGTTTTAGCCTTTTGTAAATATATTGTAAAATGACTGGTATGTAATATATATTTGAATAAAGTTATAGGTCACTCAAAACTGTATGATTAATAGATAGAATAAAAATAGGTGACGTAAGATGTGAGAATTGATGATGTAAATAATAATGAGGTAGTGTAATTTACGGAACTACAAAGTAATCTGGGATAAGTTTTAAACCATTACTCCTTATGTATAAAAAATACGTAATAATAGTAATAATAATAATAATAATAATAATAATAATAGTAATAATGGAACCAAATAAATTTGATTTATGAAAATATAAAGTAGAAAGGTTTAGCCTATGGACTTGTTTTGAACATGAGGTTAGACAAAGTATTAGAAGCGAACTAAAATGCTTCTTCATTGATCCAGGAGAAATTTTTTTAGTGAATCAAAGTTCTCCTACTATTATTATTATTATTGTTATTATTATTATCAGCTTTATTCAATATTATATTTTTGGTACAATATAGAATTCTTAGCGTAAAGTATTTCAACAAGTTTCCGTTTCTTTCTTCTTGGTCGGTTCTGGCGATAAATACCGAACGATCGCCAGTTTGATGTTAGCAGTTCACTAAATGAACATCTGAATAATGTGCATTCTTTTCTCTGTATATTGTCAGCAACCACATTGGCTCTTATTGAGTTTTTTGTAACTTTGACAACGAAAGGTTGTACACTTTTCAGAAACGCAGCAGAATGGATCATGCGATTAATAAACATAATGATATATTAAAACAAACAAAAATAGATAACTTGTTGAAATATCTAGATGGCAGGAACAGGTAGCCCAGAAGCTCAAGCAGGCCTCCCTTGTTGATAGGGGAATTCAAGTTAAATGATCAACAATTATTAAAAATCCCAAATAACTGACATCAGATATATTTTTTAACTTGTGCAATTTACTCGTTAAAATCAATTTATCTATCATCCTACTTTATCTTATTTTTTCACTTCTACAAACCCTTACATGTAACACAATACTCCAACTTTTAGTGTAAATCTTTTTTCTTCTCATTATTGTTTATATGAAAAGTAAAAAAAATAGAGATCATATTGGTAAGGGAAAGGCAGGTTAGCTAAATGTTTGTTCGCTTGTGAAAGGATTGTACAGCTAACTTATTTCTAATTCATAATTCGTGTCTAATCTTTGCTATCATTTGACTAGTTATTCTTACTTATAGGTCGTTAGTTTTGTTGTGCTCTAAGGTCAGTATTGGTTGCTACATATACTGATTGTTCAATCATAAATTTGGCTTCTTTTCATGATAAGAAAGTTTCTCTAACTGTTTGACCACGTCTTACCTTGTATTGCGTTAAGGATTATTGTTCAACTGTTGTCATTACATCATGGTTGTATTAGAAGAAACCCAACAGTTCGTAATTAGGAATTACCATAGGTCCGATTCTCTTAAGTACAAAAGGTACATCATTGAAAAAGAGTCACTATCCATTAATACGTAGCCATAAACATTGTACTTGTTATATCCGAGGGAAAATTAAATCACGAGTAACTTCTGAGACATTAATTGACTAGTATTATCTATACATTCTTATGGTATAACTATTCAATAATTAGGTTATGTATATTTATATTCCTCTTATTATAAGGTTTATTTTGACCTATAATTTATTATTATACGATTTACTGTTCCTAAGCTATGTTCAGTTTATTGACTACTGCCTCCCACGTTCATAGCCACTTTTAGGCTTTATTGTGTACAAATGTTATTTCCTATTTTATGGTGCGTTGCAGTCTGTTTGTTTGATATATAAACCCAGTATGTCTGAAATAAATGATTCGATTCGATTCGCATAGTGGAAGCTGGTATTGGTGTTCTGGACTCAAGTGAACGGGCTAGGTGGACATAGGATCAATAAGGACGCTAGACTGCTCATAGCGGTCGAACGTCATTAGTTTGGCACAGTGCTAAGTCGTATTTTGATTTGTGGATAAGTCACGTGATAAAAGCCGAACATAAAGTCATAACAGTATTGTCCTGTAACTTTCAATGACAATGGAGTAAAGTATTTGAAATCAATGTAAATCCAGTCTTTTTGTACATACAATTTTATAAAGAATAAGTATATTTTCAAATTAAGTGATTTGTTATATAGTTTCAAGTATATACACTTAAATGTCTTCATTTATTCAACAATTCTCTGTATTTTACTTAAAGTGTTTAAATGATAATTAGGAAAACGAATTTCAAATGACAATGAGGCTTAATAGTGACAATTCACCGAACAAAACACTCTTCTTGAAAATGCTTATTGGAATCATTGTTGTTGTTGTTGTTGTTGTTGTTGGTGGTGGTGGTGGTGGTCTAACTACATTGTAGTTTCTATGACGTTTGGGAATATATTTTACTACCAACAATAGTACTTTTCTATCATATTCAAAATTGCCATGCAATAGCTATTTTCTCACTCTTCATTCTCAACATCTTCCTGGTGGATTTTTAATTTTTCACTAAATGTATATCCTAGAAAGTGTTCTTTGTTTATCAGGAATCTCGGATTACGTAATCTATTCACGCACTTTCTTATTTTATTTTAGAGCATATACTACCTTCAGTAATTGGGTTCATGATGTTCGTCTCATTTTTTCTAATTGTGAATTCTTTAATGAAGATGATTCAGAGGTTGGACGTGCTGGACATGCTATGCGAGCTTATTTTGAATCACGTTGGTCTAAATTTGATGAGAAAGTGAATTTAAATGGCCATGAAGTAGATGATGAAAGTAAATCTCAAAAAGAACTAATGGCTACCAATAGTGTTCCAGAGAGACTCATTGCAATTTGTGAAGATACTACAGAAACGAAACATCTAAACACTATGTCTGTACAGAGTACTAGTGGTACTGAGAATTGACCAATCTATGTTGACAAGATAAATGGCTTACAAAATACTGATGGAAACGATACTTACGTTCACTTCAAAATATCATCAGTGGAGGCAATATCTGATCATTTGTAATTTGAAATTTTCAATTTTCATCTTCAGTCACTTATTTTAAGCTGTTTCCTGCCACTTTCACGTTAAATTCAGTCATACATTATAATGTCCCTGTTGCTCGTGAAAAATGTGATTATGTGTATCTTTTAGTGACAAATAACTGACATTTGCTTACAATACGAATACGGTAATGGTGATCTTTAAACATATTGAAAGCAACTAATTGTTTTTTCTTCTTCATATGGCCCTGATTGTAATATAAAATAGGACAGGGACCATTTCTCATCAACACTTTTCTTCGCATTACCTCTAATATGTCAATAATTTGTTAACTGTTTCTACACACATACTCAGTGTCTATTGTACATAAACTTTGTTTATATTTCCAAACAATAAAATTTTTCATATTAGCCTTTTGCGTTAAGTGAGTTATGCAATTTTACTCAGTTTAATAAAAATTAAAGGTACTATGATTAGGAAATGGGAATTTGTCACCAATATAACATAGTATAACTTATATAAATACTTTGCTACTACTAGTGTTATTTATGAAGAGATAAGTGAAACAAGATTCAAAAGATTGATTTATTCTTCTTGATTGCCGTCTAATATTTTTCATATTTGTTTTCTCATTTTGTGCAAAACTACACTTGATCTATGCTGAAGTGAAATATTTTCCATTTCATAAGAAAATAGTAAAGCTGCCTTATAAGGTTCTGTATGGTTTGAAGCAGTTTACAGAAGATAGATTCTGTGCCAATCGGCATTTTTCAGTGAATTTTATCACCAATCATGGGGTTACCTTTAATTCCTGTACTGTTCAAATCAGTCTCATAGTTAAATACTGACCTGCCCTGTCTACTAATGACATTATGGGATTAATCTCAGAACCAATCCTTTCTCCTGGTTGCCTTCAGTGACTTTGCATCAAAACGAAGCATATAAAATGTCGATTTACTTGAACAAGTTGCCAAACTGCAATCTGATTAATAGAAACTGATTAGCACGCCAGGATAGACAAACCGGTAGTTTGCACTGCATTCACACAAACTGATATACATTGAAGACTTTTCCATGATTACAGGATAATTCAGTGGTTTTTCCAGTGTGCTGTTGAATATAATGGTTCCCAATCAAGTTGCCAAAATAAATAAAACTTTCAAATTACTGATTTGCTACACAGCAACAGAATCTTTTCTTACTGTTCAATATCGTAACCGTATATGATTCTTCCTCCTATTCATCGAGGAAACTATTGTTCATCATGATTAACAACAATTAAGTGATCCATGAAAATAACAGCTTTATATTTATAATAAACAGTTTTGTTATAATACAAAAGTCAAGCAAAAAACATCTAGGTAGGAATTTCGGTAAAGTAAATTTTGTCCATACGTTTATTCATCTGACAATTATTTAAGAGGACGAAATTAAAAGAATAAGATGGGTGTTATAACTTGAAAAAGCTGATTTTTCTTGATACAACCGCGTATAACTGAGCACTAGAACACCAAACCCTTCCAAGTCGCAATAAGAAGACAGAAGACTAACGAAAGGAATATTATTCCAAACAGTGTCAAACATAGTACAAAATTATCAGGTATTTATAGTTTTTAGTGAGAACGAAATCATCATTACAGTCTTCCAATCCGCGTACAGGGGGTTATTAGCATTATCCAATGGGGAAGCTACACGTTGGAATTCTAGAACATTCTTCCGACAGGTGATTGGATGGAACGTCTTCGGTTCCTTCTGAGCCTCTTACAGCTTCCTCGAGTTCACCGGTGGTCCGTCGTCACAATGGGAAAAGATGATAATAAACGAAATAGGAAGTTGTCAGTGATATGCGGTAATGAGTACCATGCTAGTTTATGGGATATGGTTCAAACATAACTAGTGGGAGGGAAAGATGGCAACTTATAGTGAGTATGTGTTTGTCACTTCTCTTAAAGCTATCATCTGATGGGTCTGTGGTCACTGGAAGAGCTTTCTAAATGAGGGCAACTCTCAATGAAAAAAAAGAGAGCGTACCTGTGTGTTCGCTTGTCGACTCACAATCTTTTGAGAGTCACCTTGAGGAGTGTAGTGATAATGTTCCGGTAATATGCTTGTGGCTTGAAGTAGTTAATATGTTATATGGCCAGTCTCTGTACTTGGTTTAAGAGATTTATGTCTTTTTTCATGGTTGGACACCATTGTCAACTTTAAGGTGGGACCGTGCGTACATTTTAAACAGAATGAAGAGCAACTCCGGGAAGATCACACAATCTTGTTTTCACATAAAGTGAACAGTTTCATTTGTCTTGGCTACGTTTCCTTTGTAGTGAGGGACGGTTATAAGAGCGAGACCACACTCTCAGGAAACGATTAGGAGCGGAGTTTCATGGAGAATGAAAATACTTTGTGTTGAATGTGAAAGAATGTTCATGACATGATATTTCAACAGGTTAGACTTCTACCCATTATCTACTGCCTATTTCTCCTTTGCTGTAAAGTCATCTTGAAGTTCGAGTGAATCCTTTTCACCTTTTATAGACCTCCAGATCTCTACATTATCTACATAGATCAGTGCTGCCTAGCTAATTTTAACTAATAGGTCGTTAATAAAGATCAAGACCAGGAGTGAAGCTAAGATTGTTTTTTCGTGAAACTCTTGGTGTTGAGATCTTCCAACTCTATTTATCTTAATACGAAACATCTTGTTCTGCTGACAGTGTCAGAGCTAGAACATAAGTGAATCAGTGAAACCCATCTTCGCAATCTTCACTATGAGAAGTACACGAGGTACTGTCAAACACTTTTGCGAAGTTGAGGAATATAAAATGAATCGGTATCCTATGGTTCCATATATTCCCTCATTTATTCATTGATCAGTCCTTCCACTACGTTTGGGAGTAGTGTGGCTGGCTATTAACAGGTATTTTCTATCTGCATATTCAAAGATTGGGGAGAGTTGTGCACCTCCATTATCACATGAGTTGAAGTGAATCTAGCGAGTGTCTGGACAGGTCATGCACTGGCGTAATAACGGCCGCCGCGAATTATCTCAGGATTATAAGTCGAACGTTGTCACATCCTGCTAGCTTTCTTAAGCACAGGGATTTCAGTCGCTTTAATACTGACCTGGAAGGTAGTTCGATATCTCCCAGAACCTCAACTGGCACTGGAGTTTAGAGTGTCAGGGATGCAGAGGAATATACCAATAATTATCGTGTTAAGTCTAATGGTGTCCTTGGACGTTAAATGGACATTTCCATTGGTCGATATTCATTTCACCTGTCAAATATTGTACAAATGTTGTTTTCTATTTAATGGTACGATGTGGTCTGGTTGGTTGGTATATAGATAGAGTATGTCTGAAATATAATGATTCATATCTCAGAGGCTGTGACTTGCGTTCTGGACTCAGCTGGCTGGGATATACTGCGGAGCAGGGCCAATCGGGTCTCTAGGTCGTCCTTACGTGTTTTACGTGTCATTGAATCGATCGATAAATACGCTGCGCATCAAACCTGCAGTCCACCCGTTACAACAGAGAGATGTCCCGAGATCACAGGCTCTTGGTTTAACTGATCTATGAAGTTTTCACTAAAGATCCCAGCCGAATCTGATTTAAAAAGATCTCTGCAATTTGGCTTTTTAAGAGCCCAGACCCTTTGGCTTTCAGGCTTCCTCCTAGCCATGAATCTGTAGAGATATTTGGCATTAGCTTGTATTTTAGCTGCTGAGTTGCCGTAAAAGCACCTGTCGCTGTGGGCCTGTTTCTCAATGTAAAGTAAGATTTACGGTCAGAATTCTTCATGGTGACTTTCCACTTTTATCAGGCTCTCAGTTCGGCCTGTAGCAAGCATTCTCTGACTCTCTTAACCCAGTTTTTTTCTTTCCAGGGGTGTAATTACGCTGAAGTACACTATGTTGGGTGGCATTTTGCGTGATAATCTTCACTCCTCCATATGGTCATCTACTGTTAGTCTTCACCACTGTCATGGCCTTTAGGTGTGTTGAAAATGCTCCCTCAACACTGTGTAATCTCCTCTAGTTTAGCTAAGGTGGGGAACATTCCCGTCCTTGCGAACTATCTCGTTTGTGACCACGTTAAACATGGATATCTTCAACTGTAATATGATTATTTGTCCGTAAATGATGTAAGTTTGGGAGGTTTCTGTCCCTATTCCATATCTACGTTTTACACACGTATTCAGTTAGTCCCAAACTTCTATTGGCTATGGGAAGCCGCTTATGGAAGAAACTTGTAGGGGTTGCGCCTTTCTTCCTGAGATACAGGGAATGAGTATTGAAATCTCCCAGTAGTAGTATTTGGTCAAACCCCAGGTACTATAGCTTTCGTATCGCCTGTATTACTGCATCGTTTGAGTGCTATAACCTATGGGGGTCCGCATACTCCTTCAGTCAAGCGCTTTGTGGAGTTCATATTGGATCAACGTCAACATGCTTTTGTCACTGCTGTTTATTTGATACTATGTGGTTGCTGCCAATGTGTAGCGTCACGTCACCTCTTCCTTTGTGTACCCTATTGTATCTGAAAACTGTCATGCCCTCCTCTCTCACTTCTCCATCCATGACGTCGGGCGGCAACCATGTTTCGGTTGGGGCTATGACCTCCAGATGTAACTGATGGCATATGTATATGGGTCCTCCCAGTTTTACACTCAGTCCTATTCCATTGTCATAAAGGCACGTGATGGTTTGTCTCATCAATTGGTGCTACTCTACAGAATTATCAGTCTTCTATTTTTCAGGCTAGTTGTTACTCAAAGTGTGTCCTCCTGTTTCATACAAACTGGCCTCTGTAATTTCCATACATGAATAGCATGTTCCATTATCAAGACTGTGGTCTCTGCTCTGTAATGTGGGCCGCTGGGTAGAACCTATCGACACCGAGATGTGTTTTATCGGGCCATTATACCGCTATCTTACCAATGTGACTGGAGAGTCTCCCTTTTGATCTGTGCTAAATCTGAAGAGCGCCAGCTAAGTCTTTTCGGTTTCTAAAGTTAACTTCCATCAGATGGGGTGACTTAATGGTCGTGAGGTGTAACGGACGAGGTAGCCTGAACACGATAATTATTGTAGTGACATGAAATCTACTATGTGTGGTAG